CTTTTCACCAGTTATAAATAAAATATTTTGTAATGCATTTTCTTCTATTAGGTATGATTAGGTGGTTAGGTGCTGCTCATTCCTTACCAGAGCGATGTGAACAGTGAACTCCACTCCGATGCCCACGGAAGCGATCAGGATGACCACAGGAATGGCACTCAGCTTGATGCCAATGAGACCCATGATGCCAAACAACTCCACAGTCATCATGGCCAAGATAAACACCTAAAAGCACACATGAAATTTTGCGTTACCACTTTTCCAGTGCAGGAAATGTTAAGCCAGCCAACACAGTAGGATGAAAAAAGAAGATATGGTTAAACGAGATTGTAAAATTAAAGCATTTCAACTACGATAATGCTTTTCTTTCTAGATGGAGCTGAGTCCTGCTGCCACAATCTTTGACCCTGTGCTCAAGATCTTAATGACATGAGATCAAATTTCCCACCCTCGGGTTAATCCCATCCCCCTCGCCCACTCCCATATTCCTTCTTTCTCTTTCTCTTCTTCCTTCCCATAGGTGCTTAACACCAGAGATTGACAGCACCAAAGGCAAAGTGTTTGCACCACATTCACATTTACTTGTCCATAACAAATGATCTTGTTTCATTTTATTTCCACAAGATTTTTAGCCTGTGTCGCTCATTTTATTGTTTTCTGACATTTAATACAACGGCTAAGTAATGCAGTGCCACAGCTTTCGAATGCCTTCACGTGGGGTGTTACTGTAAAACCGCAATACAAACAGCAACAACAATCCTTAGAAAACAAGGAGGAGAAAGCAGTTCCTGGCCAACGGCGGCTTTTGATCCCAGCAGGGGCTTTTAGCTGGGGCATTGTTAAATTGGAAATGATAAAAGCTGTTTTACTGCTCGACCACATACAGGCTGGGTGAAGCCTTCACAAGCCGGTTGATGCTTGGAGACCATGCATGCACGTAGCTGTGCCTCTCTGTCTGAGAGACTGTGTTGTGTTGCTGTCTCAATCAGCGCTGCTGTGGGCCGCTGCTTAAATTAAACGCATTCCTGCTGAAACCGGCTCTGTAGTTGAGCTACAGACCCCTAATGGGGCTATGGGGATGTGTGTTTCTGTGTGAGTTTGGGGTCTTTGAGGACCACCGGTCCCACCAGCTTGTGTGTGAAATGTTATCCATCTGTTGACCACTCAGATTGTCTCTTTTCCGCTCTCCCACACGCACATACACGTACAGACAAATATCCCTGATGGATGGGTTGTGCAGGCCAAGGTCGCAACTGGGCAGATCTGTCCTGTCCCCAAATCTCTCCCTCTCCCTTTGACAAAAGGAGTGAGAGAGTTGGAGGTAGAGGCTTCAGGAGGGTAAAGCCTTTCTTGCTCCTTTGCATTTCCTTTTTTTTTTTTAGGCTCGCCGAGCGCACATTAGAATAACAAAGGGCCTTGTGTGTGTGTGTGTGTGCATGCTGGCCCTCAACAGAGAAAAAAGGGGCCCCCTAGACAGTGTTATTGAGCTATGCTGAGAAGGGTGAAAATAAAGAGAGCGAGAGGGAGGAAGGGGTTAAGGATGCTAAGTTAGGATGAGGTGGAGAATTTAAAAAAAACCAACCAGAAATGATGTGGAAAAATGCACGATATGAAGGAATGAAAAAGTGGAGTGCAGGATGAAGAGCTATCCACTTACAATGATGCCTGCAGTCCAGGGGTTGAGCAGGAGGATCGCACAGACCAGGAAGGTGCAGGCCAACACCACACTGATCGACAGCAAGAACCAGTGTCGGAGGCCAATGTACTGCTCCCAGAACAGGAAGGGGTATCCGTTGGGGTAATTGAACACACCCTTGCGGCCAAACTCATCGCAAATGGTGCGCACACTCTCGATGGCTTCCACAAAGTCGCTGGCCTGACGAAGGCCGTTCAGGTAGAAGGGGAACTGAGCAAACTCCAGGGGCTCTGCAGCTGGGACTGCGAGAGGAGATTAAAACAAGGTAAAGTGATTTTGTATTCACACTGTAAGTCACATTACATAAATGCATCCACTCTGACCAAAATCAGATGACTTACTGCGCAGATTTTCCCCTGTAGTGTCATACTTGTCATGAATCCATTCTCTGGGGTGAGGGTAGAAGTTGGCCTGAGATGCAGCGTAGCCCAGGGGATCATTACTGACCCAGACTGTCAGGTAAATGTAAAAAACCTCCGGGGGAATCAAACCCTCGACATCCACCAGCCGACGAGAGGTCAGCTAGAGAAAAAATTTGCATTTGTTGATTATATTTTCATCTATAATGCCAAGCAAACATATTATGAGACAAAGCCTTTTATCTTTTTTTTTTTTTAACTCACCTGGCTGTAGTTAAAAGGCTCTTTCTTGGAACCAGTCTGGATCAGGAGCTTGTATGCCAGAGCCCCGTCTTCTGTGCCGTTACGATAGCTGTCAGCGGTAATTCTGCCTGCCTGCCAGTCAGCATCAAAAGCCGCCTGAAGACCTGTGTGTGAGGTAGAACACACAAAGAAGAGAGAGGATTATTGAGGCTGTCATTTATAAATGCTTTGATTTCTGTTATCATAACAGTTCTTCTGCATGTCTGCCTGTGTGAGCAGTGATGCTGAAAATGTGGAATATCAAGTTTCCTTTTCTGGATCAGATTGACCTGATCGCTATTACTTCTTCTTCACTGGATCTGTGACACATTCTAGCCTAAGGACGCGCGCACACACACACATCCCAAGATAGCCTATGACCTCAAACCGTGAGCGAGTACGTCACCTCTGAGCCCAGGTGGATGCAGTCTAACAATATGACTGAACTTCCACTCACCCTTTGCACATTCTAACCCCCACACCCATTAACCCACTCACTGTTGTCTTTAGCAAAAAGCATGTCTGAAAAAACCTAATGCATTAAATAGCAGACTCATTATCAGAAAGAGACAGAAAGAAGAAGTTATTACCTAACTCCCTCTAAAAAAAACCCCCCAAAATAACATTACTCTGAATTCTTACCTCTGAGCCAATCCTGGAAATAGTGCAGCCACATGCGGGGCAGTTTGTTGTCGCTGTCTCTGACCACATATCGAACTGAGTTGAAGGCGTTGTGCAGCTGAATCAACAGCCTTTGAGATCGGGCATAATCGAATCCGTCCATAGTAACCAGGTACATGTTATAGAAGGAGAAATACTTGAACTGGGCGTCGATGAAGTCGTATTCCTTGGTGTCACGTGGCACGATATCGGTCAGGTAAAGGCCATCATGCACCATGGTGGTACCGTACAGGCTGAGGCCCAGGAGGCACAGGAAGAGAACAACCACGGCTGCTTTGCTCTTAGGCTTAAGGAGCAGAGGGGCATATTTCTCCCTGGCAAAATTGGACAGGTTCCAGTGCAGGAAAGGGAGCGGTACACACTTTTTCCCTGATCTGGAGTCCTCCACCTGGGCTAAGAGGTCTCGTGTGGAGCTGGAGGTAGGGGTGAAGAGCTGGGAGCCATAGGGGTCTGGCACAGAGGTGGTGGTGGGGGAAGGAGAGGCGGCTAAAAGGAGGAAATACAAGCAGGAAATGAGCATTCCAGTATCATAAATTGCTGTATTGTCAGAATCATCATAGAGTTCAGTTTACCTTGAGGCTGGGAGGGAGGGCAGAGGATGATGGAAGGAGGGCTGGTGGAAATCTGTGAGGTAGGCGGCAGAATTGTTACAATATGCTGGCCTGCCGCGTCGCACTGCGTGAACGCCTGCACCGTCGTAGTGATTTGGGTGCTGGTGGTGATGGTCGAGCCTGCGGTGTACTGGTGCGTGTGCGCCGTTGTTGGCGTGTGAGGCTGTTCTCCGGCGTCCGATAACTCTTGAGGGGAGAGATGGATGACGCGATCGGAGCACGGGCTGTAGAGACAGCAGAGGATGTCCAAACGCTTGTCCTCGCGACGGTGGAGGTCCAAACTGAGGATGGCGGGGAAGATGAGCAGCACCATGGCAAAGTTAAACACAACCACAATGGCCGCCTAGGGAAAGGGAGAAAAAATACAGAGTGAAATAAGAGCAAGATAGAGCTAAGAAGAGACTGAACAGGATATAAAATTACAGACACACCAGCCCAACTGGGAAGAGTCAAGACTTTTTTTTTTAATGCCTGACACCACAGCCCGGTAAGTAAAGAAAAGCTCTTCTCTAAATCACCAGCCACGAATACTAAGCGAGCCAGGAGGGGAAAGAAAAGAAAGAAGTCACAAAAAATATGGAAAGATATATATATAAATATAAAGTTTGAGCAAAACCATCACCCTTCACCGGTTCAGCTACTGCCTCCCCGCTCACCCGTCCCCTGAAGCTGACATTCTAACTGGCTGTGGTTTCCAGAGTGTGTCCATCTTTGTGTGTGTATTTGTGTGCGAGCTTGTGTGTTTCAGACCACCCACAGTTAGTCACAGATCAGAGAAAACCGCCTTGACGGCCCAGTGATATACTGGTCCACTCCTCCCTCCCTCTCCCTGCCGTTTTTCTGTCTCTGTCTGTTCATTACTGTCTTTGCTCTGATTATTATATATATATATGTATATATATATACATATATGCACACTTACACACAAAGACATGCACACACACACACACACACACATACACACACAAAAAACGTTGGTCCTCTAGGTGCAGTGGCAATAAAACTAGGAACAAAGGCTTCGCTTGCTTTGAATAAATGTCAACTCTTTTAAGTTATCTCTTTCATTTTAAAAGGAGCCCAAGGCCTCATGGTGTGCGATTGTGTACAGCTTGTTTATGCATGCGCGCATGTGTGTAAAGGCGTGTGTCTGTGTATGTCTGCAAAACATACCTGCAATGAGAAAGCTCGGAGCGCAGGGATGGGTACTAGAGCAGCCATGAAAAATGCAATCATGTTGTTGATGGAAGTCAGAGCCACACTGGTGCCGGTGCGACGCAGACAGTCTCCTGTCCGCTCCTTTACGAAAAAAAAAACAAAAAACAGAAGACACAAATCAGAACAGAGGAAAAAAGAGGAGAGGACAAGGGAAGAGAGGAGAAGAGGCTTTGAAAGGTACCTTGAAGGGTATGTTGCTTTCAGTTTCTGTGAAGGAGTGAGCCAACAAAAACATATCATCCACACCGATCCCCAGTGCCAGGAAGGGAAGCACCTGGAATAGGATAAACATCAGTCGAGAATAAAGGGTCTGAATGATCATTCAGCATGTGGAATCAAACTCTGTGATTTAAATCGAAGGAGGACCTCCTTAAATCTAAATTTGCTTATGAACTGAATGATGTACGCCGCTCCCTTTATGTTGTACCTGTGTTGTAGCGGCATTGAAGGAGAGGCCAAGCAGGGAGCAGAGACCCAGTCCAGCTGCCACTGACAGAGCCACCAACAGCACCCCAGCCAACCCCACGGCCCCCTGGGATTTGGCGCAGTCCCATCTCAGCATGGTCACACAGGCATAGGCCAGCTGGAGAGGAGAAAATGTATTATTATTAAAGACAGTGAAATGATACAAGATACTTATTATCCAAAAATAATGGGCAAACGTCAGTGACTATAATCACCATGAGCAGGTATCCTCCAGCCACCCTGATGACGCTGACATCAGAGAAGGATTTCATGATGTCATTGAGGGTTGTGGTGGAGAAAGCGTGGATGGACTGACTGGAGTTTGCTGGAATGCTCTGGTGAACCACCTGATGGGGAAACATCAATCAACTGTTAAAGCGTTCTGCTGAAGAATAAAAAAAAAAAAAACATACTACCCAATTCATAACTAAGCAATGTGGAAGAGCAACTGAAGGAATATGGACCTTGTTACACACATGGTTCAAAATCCCCCTAAACTACTACAGCCCTATATCTCAGGACCCCCTAAAATTTCTGTTTGAAATGTGCATGGCTGTGAAAGCGAGTAAGACGGCCCGAGTGTGTTTTTACATGTGCTAGCATGTGTGTGTGCGTGCATAAGTATGACAACTGAGGAGTAATGAGCACAGATGCCAGAGGTTGTGAGGTCAAAGGTGAAAAAGGATGGGATCGCATGGCTCAGAAGGCGTCTCCTGGTACTTCATGCCCATGAAGGAACCAAAGCGCCTGAAAGCCATTTACCTGAAAGCCATTTACCTGTAAGCGTTCGACCATCATTTGCTATCTCGTACAGATCTGCACTTGTACTTTAATATGTCGGGCTGGGGGAGCCTCATGTCTCTGTCAGTTTACATTTGAGTTGTGTTACCCCTCCTCCCCTCCCCAAATGCCCCTCCCTCCCGCTGTGCTTAGCCTCGCCGTGGTGGGTGTCAGCTATCACAGCAACAGCTTGTTCCTATAACTAGGGTCTTGACAGAGAGGGAGACGATTGGCCTACCACACACACAAACACACACTAACCCGGTGCTCTGGTCTGCCCTGCGATTCAGTTTACAAGGGAGCTGAAGACTGATGGAATTCAGACACTGCAGATTAAAGTCTTAGTGCGCTTGTGTGTGTGTTTATGTGTGTGTGTCAGTGAAGATGGCAGCATGAGGACAAGGAAATGAGCTCTAATTTTTCTCCCCCTCCTCCTACATGATCTCAGTGACAACAAAATATCTTTATTTCTGCCATGCTGTCCTTGAAGCATGGCGCGTTTAAAGGAGCGTGAAATCTGTGCGCGAGTTCATACCTCGACAAACTTTCTCTGCCAGGACTCAAGGATGGCGGTGGCTTTATCCTCATTCCAGTTAATGTCGTGGATTTCGTAGTCGTCCTTAAAGTGCTCATATAGCTGCTTAGGACTCATCAGCAGGAACATGGTCTGGAGAGCCTCCGCACTGCAAAACATGCAAACAAAGTTTAGTACACATCAGGAATGATGAGCGACTCTTAAAAAAACCATAATGTAACCATTAAGTCTGAGTGTTTAGATGTCCCTTGTATCTGAAAGCAGGTGCCGTCTCCTCTAAGATTTGTCCGCCTGCCTGCTTGCCCATCTGCCAGTGTAAACAACTAAAAGCAGGTGTTATCTAGTCTGTCTGCTCATCTCTAGGCTACAGTCCCAGATGTCCTCAGGTTTTCTTGGCACCGGCAAAGCAAGCAGCAGTGCCGCTCAAAATGTGAAAGAGATGATCATAAATCACATCCAAGAATAAGTGTGGCTCTTGCAGATGGGCCTGGAATCCTCTTTCATTCAAGGCTCTCTTGGGTCTGTGGAGGGGGGCTTGATCTGGGCTCTGACCCAGTGCTCTCACTCCATTTATACTGGCCATGCTTTTATAGCCAGTTGAACTCTGAAGATTGTCTTATAAAGAGCCCTGGGTTAGATGAAAGTGAATTTGAGTGTTATTCGCCTCCTTGTTTTTCTTCTTCTTCTTTGGTCCCGCACACAACAAATGTACAGCAGGGTGGTGGGGCTTTATGTAACTGTCAATCATCTTTAATTGGCTGATCCCAGACCGGGGTCATTCAGGAAACTGATCCCTCTCGATATGAGGCATTCCTAGCATGTGTCTTCACTGCTGTTAGGGGGTTCCATAGATTCAGAGGGGAACTCGTAGCCTACTTGGCTGGTAGTGATCGCGTCGCATCCTTTGGGGTGGCTGTAGCTCAGGTGGTAGAGCAGGTCATCTACTGATCGGAAGGTTGGTGGTTCGATCCCTGGCTTCCCCAGTCTGCATGCCAAATATCCTTGGGCAAGATACTAACCCCAAATTGCTCTCCGATGCATCCATCGGAGTATGAATGTGTGTGTGAATGTTACTTAGAAAGCACTTAGAAAGATGTGCTTGTGCGAATGGGTGTGAATGGGGTGAATGTACAAGTTGTGTACAGCGCTTTGAGTGCTCAGAAAGAGTAGAAAAGCGCTATATAAGAACCAGTCCATTTTACCATTTACTATCCTTGCTATTGAATCCTTTAATCACACAAGAGGAAGACAATGTATAAATATACCCCCAAAAACACACACACACCTCAGCAGAGCATCCTGGCTGTTCTTGACCCGCCCTCCCAAAATGAGCTCCTCTTGCCAGTGCATGAACTTCCGGCTAAAACCATGGCAACCACCCTGGAGACGCCCAGCAATGTCAGGACTCTGAATAAGAAAGCAAAAATGTCAATATGCGCGCTTCTTTGGTTTACTTTCTGTGCACTGTAAATAATTACTAAAGTTGCACTCTTTCACTCTTTCATGAGGTTACCTCTCCTAGCTCCTTGTTAGGTGCACTGAGGGGGCAGTCCGGATCTAAGGGGTCTAGACATGGTCTGTTCATGTAGGCATGTCCCACCTGAGGAATCAAACAATGTTAGAGATGTCTCAGTACACAATAAGAGATGTAAACATAGATGACACGCAGCCTTGTTTAGTAAAGATATCCATGTAATTTTTTCTGTGCGTCACCTGGGCTTTGTCCAGCATCTCCTTGAACCCTTCCAGTGAGGTGAACTGGCTCAGCTCCTCCATCAGCTTGACTGGATCTAGATTCATCCACTGGATATCTTGCATACCCCTGCAGAGCAAAGACACACTTTATAATGGCAACAAACACACACACACACTGATTTTACATTATTTGTAGGAACTTAAGGAAGGAAGGCAACGTAAAATAGCTTTTATGAGCATGTGCCCACACGGCTACGTGGCTTTGAATTCTTCGCTAATGTTTACTCTGGGCAGGAAAACTTTTACTTCAGTTTCTCTCTCGCTCCTTTGTTGTGGTGGGCTACACAGGAGGCTAGCTGCAGATACAGGATAAAATAGCGTTTATTATCCTGTTTCACGCTGCCACAATGCCCAGGGAAAAGGCACAGTGGCTGCCTGCTCACTTTCATTCCTCAATGCCCTGCACTGAGTCATAACAATTACCTCTGCCTCCCAAACATCTTGATAAGGAGGGAGGGATGGGAGAGGCCAGGAGGATGGAAGGCAGGGAAAGGGAAAACGGGCGAGGGATGAGATATACATGGACAAATAACCTGTTTGTTAGCTTCATCTGTACTGCGCTGGTTTGCTCTGCAATGTGGCCTACATCAGGAAATGTAATGCACTTGCTCAAGGAAAATAAGAATTTTGGAAAAACTGGAGGAATTATGTTTGTGGTTTGTGATTCAGCGAGACAAAGGGAAATAAAATTATCCCAAAGTATCTGAGCTCCAAGCTGAATCTCCCCCCGATGGCTCATGAAGAGAGCTGCTCTCCTATTCCCACATACCAGGGTCCCCCTTTTGCTGCTGGTTGCAAAGACACTCCTTTATCAGCTAGTTTTTGCTTGACTGGACCGGGCCTGGGCCCTTTTGTTTTTTCATAGATTGCTGCTTTTTGTTCTCCCCAGTTCTCTCACTCTCTTTCTCTCCCACTCTTCACTCATTCTCTTTCCTGACCCCCCCCCCCCTCCCCTTTTCTTGCTCTCTATCATACTCTTATTTCTTCTGTTTTTGAGTTGGTTTTTTTTGTTTTGTTTTTTTAAAAAATGGTTGGAGCAGAAGCTGAATAAAGGGACAGTCCCACCAGTGAATGCAACAGGCTCTCGTAAGCTCAACGACGACAACAAATAAATGAAGAAGTTAAATACATTTAATAAATAACAGCAGATGTTGAGCACTGTGTGAATGTTTGGAAGATGTGTGATTCATCAAAAGCCCCCTTCTCTTTCTCTGGTGCTATGCTTTTCACACAAGCCAACAGGGAGATGCTAAGGATGGGAAACTTGTGTTTGTTTCTGTATGTGCTGGCTTGTCATGCAACATACCGCTGTCAGCTAAGACACACACATAAACAAATAATTCCTCTGCAAAGAAACATCTGCTATGATCTAAACTATCTTTTCTAAACTAAGCACACAATTGAAATATCACTTCTGACGAGGAAAAAAAGAGATCCCTTTCAGTGACTCAATTTCTCAAGAGAACTTTATCCCCCGCAGAAAAAAAAAATAGAATCTCCAAATGCCCAAATACGCCCAGACTCCACTGTTAACTGTCTTGTAGGCTCTCTCTGTCCTTCTCGGGGGACTTGGGGCTTGAATACTGCCCATTTTATTTGTTGGACAACTTGGGAGCTAGGAGCCCGGGGCATTACCATGAGAATGCCGAGTGTTAGCCGTGAGCTGACAAAGCCAGCCCCCCTCCCTCCTCCGGGGCCCCTGCACTGATGGACACTCACTCGTAAACTGAAAGAATGCTTACCATTGTCTGACCCAAAGGGCTCCCCTGCCACCACCACCACCGCCGCCGCCGCCACCGCCGCCTCCCCGCCCTCCGTTCTACCAACCCACCACCCAGTTGCTGTTACAGCCATCTACTCTCTCTCCATCCCTGCCTCGCTTGCTTGCCCGCTGCATCTCTCTCAAACCTTCTCTCTTTGAATTTCTCTGTCAGTACACCCCCTTTCAGTCCCTCTCTGGGCCCTAAAAGAACTCTATTACTGACCAGCACTGTCAGTCACAGCACCCACTGATAGACTACTGAAAGCCCAACTGTATGTCTCCATCCATCATGTGCTAAAGTGACAGACCCCTCCAAAAGCTCTACTCAGTTCAGATGGAAGCAGTGCATAGAATCAGCCAAGCTGTCAATGAAGTGCTTAAAAGTGCACCCAAAAAAAAGTTATGGCAAATATTCCAAGACTTACGGTAAATAGGCAGAGCCTCCCTGTAGCTTGGCCCCTTCCCAAAAGCAGTCCAATGGGGTGATTATCATACAGGGGAACAGCTTGTCAATCATCTGGGATCAGGAAATAGAAAAGAAAGAAGTAAACATCACAAATCAGTGATAAATAAACATAGACACAAAAAAACCCCCAAACAAAACAAAACAGATATTTCTTCATCGACTTACCCTTTCGATCATGACGTTCTCTATAATGGGGACTCCAGATTTATAGCATATTTTATTAAGATCCCATGATCTAAGAGAAATAAAGGTCTTAGATTAAAAGTTTTATTAAAAAACACATGGGTGCGCGCAGCAGATCTTCACAGAGCATGTCCACTTACTTTCCAAACAATGACACCTGCACTTTGCTGGCGGACAGCGCGGCTTCCATGTGAACCAGCAAAGCTTCCTGGGTGAGAATGTTTGTGCCCTCTTCTTTGGGGGTCTGGATAAGCATCTGTGAGGTAAATACAGACTCCTCTCCCTGCTTTTCCCTTGTGTAGCGAAGCTCTGTGCTCACACGACTGCCAGCTAAAAAAGTAGAAATGAAAAGTGATTAGATAGACAGATAGATAGATTTTCTTTAATGCACATGCAAAGACACTCACACATTTGTATCCTATTACAGAGTAGGTTTTGTGCGAACATATGCACATACACACACACACTTACACAAGAACACACACATATATTGACCAACGCCCTTGGCCTTCGCCAGTGTTGGTTTTGAAGGCACTTCACACAAGCCAGTGTCTGGCCAAGAGAAATGAGTAATACAGCTTCTCATTGGCTCCCTCTGCGAAACAGATGTGCCCTGTTAGTTAGTGAAACCAGCCTTCTGATGCCCCCAAAACGCTCTACTGCTCTGTTTAGAGCAGCAGATACAGACCGGGACAATCTGAACTCATAAAAAATAATTATGATGGGCACTTCATCTTTTATTCCTGATGTTTATGCACAGTTTTCAACCTTTAAAGGTTGTTTATTGGAAAATGTGTTCATCTCAGATTCTGTATTTCTCTGCAACGCTTCCTCAGCGGTGTTCTTGTGATATGGCATTGAAAGACATAAAAGTGCGAATGGATAAAGAACGTTGAATATATTCGTGGAGGAAAGAAATATGGCTGTCAGAGACGGTGATGAAGAGAAAAGTTAGAAAACGGATGAAAAAAATGTAGAGCGAGAGAGAGCGAGGGAGAACGAGAGAGAGAGCTATGTTGTGCTGTGCAATAGACCCCAGCCCCCTAATTACAGGAGGTTGCCCTGAAAAGAGTTTGCCAGCCGGGGGGATCTGTGCCAGTGCCAAGTGGACATGAAACATGCCGCGCTGGATCACAGAGGGCCCGTCTGCCCCTCTTGCTGTCCCACTACACGACAACCCCAGAGAGACAGAAGGGAGGGGAGAAAAGAGGGAAGTGGTGGGAGTTTAGAAACTAGGGCTACCACCTTCTTGATTCAAATTTTTGTCAGTCGTTCACCCAATTTTACTGCACTGCACTGCACTCCGAGCATCTATTTCTTTCATCCTTTTAACACTCTCCCATCTACCTCTCTCTCCATCTCTTTCTCTCTCTCACACACACACTCTCCCGCTCTCTCTTTTCCCTCACGCTTTCTGGACCTCCCCCTGGCTGGAACAGGCTCCCATAATTGATGGGGAGAAAAGAAAAAACAAACTATTCAGCCTACGCCGCAAAAGTGTGAGATCAGGTTAGAACTGCGGTCCTCTGTGACACAGTCCAATATTTCTAGGCTTCGCTTTCAAGGCTTAATTACATTCGCAGGGCCTTGAGACTATCGGGTCACCTTGTTTATTTGCAGTCACTGGTGTCGGGCTTAGTGCATCTCACAAAGAAAACACTTCAAAATGGGACACGCTCTTGTTGAATGTTCTTTGCACAAAAACTTTTTTTTTTTTTTTTTTTTAAAGCTAATGTATTTATAAACCACAGCAGGACATATGTGAAAGAAATAATTCTGCCTGGAATTTTGGAAATGTTAGAAAATGAGATTTGACTTTTATTAAGTCATTTTCATACTGTCATGAAGTGTAAATACGAGATTTAGTGTAAAACATTTTAATCTTCGTGGCCCCGCTTGGGTTTCTTGCCCCACTAATTTCCAATCAAAAAGAAAAAAAAACCCACTAAAAAACTGAACACTTTCCGTTTGAGGACCTCTTTGACATCTGTTAAACCTTTTTTGACATTTCGTATGTTAACCTCTGCAGCGTGGGGTTTTGATCCCAACAGGAACTGGGTGGCTCGAAGAGACTCTGGCTCTGTAATTACAGGCCTCCTGAAGTAAATTATAGCTATTTGTGTCTCGTTCCTCCCATCTGGACCACCCAGGCAGCCAGTCCTCTCTCGTTTCTCTCTCCCTCTCTTTCTCGCCTTCTCTCCTCAACCCCCGGTCCGGCCCCAACCACCCGACTTCTAAGCTTCCCCAGCACTCAGCTCTGCTCAAGTTCACCACTCTCTCCATAAGAAGCCTCTCCGTCTCTATCTTTCTTTCCCTGTTCCTCGTCCCCCTTTTCTCTTTCTCTTTCTGAGGCTGTTTTTCCCTTTTTCACTCTTTTTCAGTTCCCCCCCTCTACCCTCTCCCTTCACCCAGCCTTCGCTCCTCACAGCCTTAAAGAGACAGTTCCCAGAAACTTTCTTCCCACCCTGGGAAGAAAGCACCTTTGAGGGTGTAAAGCTGGGTTTTAACAGCCCAGTGGCTGGCAAGTTTATTACACGAGCGATTCTGAAACATGAAATATTAGTCCTTGTTTGGCAACATGATCAAAATTGAAAAAAAAAAAAGAAAGAAAAAAGAAAAATGGGGGGCTTGGAGATGGGTGAACACAAATGATCGCAACTCTAAATCACATCCCATCGGTTTGTCGAGATGCTTTCGCGATACTCGACCACCATCTTACAAATTTTAGCAAACAATTCGACTCTGATGGGTGCAACATGTGAATCCATTTACTAGCTTCACCACTAAAAGCACTTTCACAACAGTTACGACATTGGGAAAGTGAAAAGCGAGGGGAAAATGTCATAACAAGCCCTGACATGGTTTCATGGCTGTGGGTGTACAAAAAATAAAAAAAATAATAATGTTTTTAAGAAAGCGTGTTTTCATGTGCCGTGTATATGTGTGTGTGTGTGTGTGTGTGTGTGTGCACTGAGGTGAAACAGGACTCTGTCTCCACCAACCTCAGTCATTTCCTACCCACCTGACCCTTCCATCCTTACAAGCCAAACAGACAGCATCTCCTAACTCAATAAAACATCTGGCTTCTAGAATGATCCAAGACCACCTTTAAAGGCCTGTTTCTATTCTATTCTATTGTGGTTATGGGTACCTAGTCCCAGTTCCAGGCCATTCTAGGTCAGACCAGGCCGCCTTCAAAGTTTAGTGTGGTAGATTAGCTGGATTAGGGGGCCCCTGAAAGGCCCCACGCTGCTATGGAGGAAGACTCAAGAAGAAGAGGGCTGAAGGTGACATGTATGCTATTACTTGCTATGTAGTGCATTTGACGTTTTTCCTGATTTACACAGCATGACAAGATGAGAAGAAATATACAGCCGATTTCTACACAAAACTTCCTTTGATAAAATATAGTTCAGGGAAGGTTGCCACGCTACTTTATCATAGCGTAGCAACAATATGAAAAATAGATTAAGTTATCCCTCGCCTGCTGTCTTTTACCTATGATTTACTTCCTTCTCCACTGTTTTATTCACAAAAGAGCTGCTTTACTTCCTTTTGATTTTCAGCAATGGAGCTAAATGAGACATTCATTCCTTCATCTTGGCACCCAAATAGGCCCCCTTCTTTTGGACCCACCAGAATCTCCACTTTGGATTCTTCAGCCCAGTCCTGCCCTATGGCTTTCCCTAGCCAGGGCACTGCCTAAAGCAGGCTGCACCCCAGCAGATGGGCTGTTCCTCTATAGAATCCGTCAGTACAGCTCCAGACTGAATGCAGACCCTTTTGTCATTCAACCCTTCAATTTCTTTCAGATGTTTCCCAACAAACAGCAGAATAAAATAAAGAGGGAACGTTTTTTTTTCCTCCCCTCAACAAAAGCAAATGGACCAAAACTTTCCCAGCCTGTAAAACAATGCCAGAGTCGGGATGTAAGGGGGGGTGAGGCAAGGGGTTAGAAAGAGAAGCTGGCACTTTGCTATCTTACCTATAGAAATACAGTGTATCTGTTTAGCAGCTGTCAAAAACACCATTCACTCAGGAAATGAGCTAAACTACCCGCACACACAAAAAAAAAACAAATGTGGCCTCTGTTTGTCCTGTAACTTTTCCCTGGTATTAAAATAAAAAAATAAATACATAAATAAAAAGCTGTCTCCAAATCACACCTTAAAAACTGCATAAAACAGCAAAAACAACATGAAAAATCAGTTTCACTTACTTTCTATTCAGATGTGCCAGTGGTGTTAGCCACCACACATAAATTTCCACGAGGGCTGGCATTTAGGCACTTTCTATTTCCATATGTATAGGCTTGCCTCTGCTAATTATGCTAATCATGGGCAGTGTTGGCCACTGTGAAAAATAGTCACATTAGACACTCCACTGACCGCTAATGCTGCTTAATGTGTGGTTGAAACATACATTCATCCCCGCCTGAAAAGCAAAATTTTTCCACGTTGCTGGTCTCATTCAGATGAGAAATGAATTTATTGAGCCCCAGAAGCATTTCTTTTTTCCCTCCCAAGTACCAAGAAAATGTTCAGTCCCCCTCTCTCTCTCCAGCCCCTCTCACTTCACTTTTTATACTTCCACGGTGTAAAGACAGAGGCAAATGGTGCAAACTCTAAGGTGACTGGTGTCGCTTTATTCCCCCCCACACCCACCCCACAGCCAGAGACAAAGGTTGCTCTTCAGCGAAGAGATAAAGGGTGCCACACTATACTGATTGAGTTTTTATTATCCCATTTTCGGTTGCATTGCGGCCTTTCTAAGGATATCGCATTCAATGTAGCAAAGAGCCTGACAGTCCAGTGCCCTTTTTTCAGCCCAAAGACCTGTTTTATGCTATCACTGTAAACCGGTGATACTCATTACCCAATAAATATATGAAGAGCTTTTGTTTTACAACCAAAAGCAAAAAAAAAGAAGAAGAAAAAAAACCCCCAAACAAACAAGACTTTGAAAAAGGGAAGGTAGAGCATGCTCTTTTGTGCTTCCTGTCTCAGTAGAAGCAAGAGCCATGTGTCTGTCATATGCAGATGTATCTGTAGCTGCTCAGTGTGTGTTTATTTGTTGGGGGGTGGTCTTGGGCTCTCTGTTGAAGAGCGTGTGTGTGTGTTTTGGGGATGCTGAGAACGGGGATGGAATGAGGTAGTCTTGGATTGAGGGATGGAGGGAGAGGGGGTGAAATAAACATTTAGAAGTGACCCAGGTTGACTCTGTCTTGTTTGTTCTCTCTACCAGTGAGGTCCCGGGCCCTGAACGCTGGGAGTTTATTTATCTAGTTGGGGCACCACCGCGCACTATTCACCTCCAATAATACCTCATAGAGCTCCCTTTCTCTGTCTGAACTGGGGCGCTGTGTGCACTCCAATGAATTATAGCATTTACCTGCTGTGCCACTCTGAGGTTTGTTTAGAGAAACCGCTCCAAACGGAGAAACGCCCACGTGTGCATTTGTGCAAACTTTTTTGCTCTCCTCTCTTTAAATCAGTCCACACCTCGGTCTCTTCATATCTTGTCTGATTCCCTGTTATTCTGTATACACTGTATGGTCTTCACCTCCCTCTCTCCTGCATAAGACTTTTTATGGGGCAACTGCTACCCGGATAGTCTTCGTCTCGCTGCGCTCATATTTGGACAGCTTGAGTCTGTGTACATGTCTGTCATGCCTCACCCAAACAACTGCCAAGAAAGATGAGTTTAGTTAAAGTCAGAGTAAACAGCACCACTGTTACATGAAGGCATTTTCTTTACCCTCTTTCCCATACACAGCTTTTCGGCTGCGGCTTGATACGCGCCTGAAAACAATTATCCAAAGGCTGCGCAAAGGCATCCTTAAGTTTTACACATTTTAGTGAAAAAAAAAAAATTAAGCTTAAGAAAGTAACTTCTCTCATAAAACAAACAGGGCTTTTTAGAGAAAGACATCCACAAGACCGTTTCGCACTTGATGTTTGTTCAAATGAGACAGGCAAAAACAGCAGCAAAAAAAGGGGAAAAAAAGTGTGAGCTTGCAATAAACCTTCCACCCCATTCCTGCCCCCCCACACCATTGTCTCCTCTTATCCTCGTCCTCTTCCTGCGCCTCTTTTTATGATCTTTTTCTTTTCTCCTTGTGAACAATACAGAGCCGGGTCACACGTTGCCCAGGTCATACCTTAACTTTCAAATTCTCAAATGTGGCCCAAGCTAGATAAGCAGAACCACAGTGTAAACTTTATCTAATTCTAACTAGATAACATGAATGATTTTTTGAAACACAATTTAACTCAATTTAATCCAGGCACTTTATGAATGAATTAGGAAATTGGCAACAAGTGCCATCCCTCGGGCCAGCACTGCAGTTTAAGAAGGAAGAAGAAAAAAAGATGTGCATGGGTGTAAGGTAATTTGATGGGCGATGTCTGTCTCAGATCCTTTAGAGCAGAGGCAGTTAGCCAGAAATAGTTCGTAATCCCCTTGTCAGACAAAACACTCTGATACTCCGGCTTTTATTCTCCACTACACAGGTGTGAGAGCTGAAGGTACGATGAAGCCTTCGACTTATAAGTAGCTCATCCGCTCTGGAAATGCACAAGAGTCCTCTAGTTGAAGTAAACGATATGAATAAAGACATAAAGAATGCTTGATTAATTGTGAAGTGTAGGCACAAATTCTGTCTCTTTCTCTCTGTCTACACTTTCTAGACACAGACTGCACTGCTGTGCTTCACGGTATTTTGGTCCTGTTGGAGGGAGGAAGCAATTAAAAAAAAAGCCCTGGTGGCCTGACTTCACAGAGCAGGCAGACAGACAGGTAGAAATATAAACAGGCGCACACAAAGCCCGGGCAGACAGACGAGAACGCAGTCAGGAACCTGAGGCGGGAAGACAGGCGGCCAGGCAAGCTGCACGCACCAGAAGTGACAAAGATGACAAGTGTGCGTGTTTGTGTATGTGTGTGAAAACTGCAGGGGGCAGCTCCTAGTATGAATATATGATGGGAAGCATATGCTCCTAACACATTCAGATACACACACACACACACATTCACATTCAGCTTGGAGTGTTAACACATAAGGTGTCAATTCACAGCTAGTTTCATCTGAACAAATTAGGGTGCAAGTGGGAAAACTTTCATTTATGCCACTTCTTAAAGTTGCTTTTGATGTAAAGCCAAATTCTTTACATGTTTAGATTACAAAACACGACAAATAAAACTTAGGAACTAATGTAAAATATATGTTTATAATTTCATTCCATCAGTCTGAAATCTGATGTCTTACTAGAAGGCATATTTTTTTTGTGCCCTGGCTTATGTGTATTGGTGCATGTGTCTTTTTCTGCGTGTGTGTGCGTGCGTGTGTGTGTAAAAGAGAAAGAGTGAGAGACAGAGGGAGAACTAACCTCTCCTTGTTACCGAACCACTTTACTCTCCATTGAGGCCCTAGCAGCTTTGTCAATGGGCTATTGGTGGAAACAAGGCAGGCAGAAACTTTAGAAAGATGGCCACGGCCTCTTAAAGGCACAGCATTCCTTTTGAGCACCCCCACCCCAGTTCAACTCTCTCAATCCCACAGCAAAACAACTTGCACACAAACATCTAAACATGTCCTTTAAAAGATGGCTTGGCCAATTAGCTCGAGAGGTAATCCCGAAGCTTTACACTAACCACAGTGAAACCAAAGAAAAGGGACACAGTGGCAGCTCTCCTTCTTATTGTGGGAGATGGAGGCGTTTCCTTCAAAGCTAACAATTTCAGTGCCTACATTTTTAAAGATTTTTCTTTTTGTTTCTTTTTTTGTTTTATTGTGCTTGATAAAGAACCTTATTTAACTTCCTGCGCAAGTGAAGCACACAGCCTTCCAACAACCGGCGGCGTGTGATTCCACCAACACCTCCACACAGGTCCTGTGGGAGCCGCCTGTTCCTGTCCTCCAGTGACATGGTGGGCTTAAAAAACCCTATAGAGTCTGTTTATATTCACCAACTGCTGTGGCGCTTTTAGAGCGTGCAAAACAGGTGGGTAAACTTCAGCTGCATTCACTTATATTTTTTTTTCTTCTTGTGAGGAGGAGAGAAGGGAGGGAGGGAGGAGGGTAAGGGAGGGAGGTGGTGCCTGCTTGCTTGCCTGCCTGCCTGCTTGCCTCTTGTTGAATGGAATCCAAGAATAGTTAGGGACCACACAGGGAGCTAAGGGGGGGAGGGGTCAGAGCCCTCAAAGATGGCTAACCATTCACACAGTCCATCTGCTGCAGGGATCAGCCCCGGCACTGAAGCCTGGGGGTTTAAAAGGAATTTGGTCAGTGTGAAAAACCAAATAAAGCTGCCTCTGCCGCTGGAAATGTACAGATAACCTTAACTTAAAAAGTTCAGAGGTAAAGAATGGGAGTGCTATCAAGAGAAGAGGAAATTGTAGGATATCCAAAAAAGACACGGCAGAAATGTCAGGGATGTGTTTGCTCTCATGATGAAAAGACGTAGAAGATAAAGAAGTCAAAAAACATGAAGAACTCCTGATAAAAACATATACAATGCAGGAGAGAGTGGCATGAATCTGCTGTATACAAGGCTGTTAATACTGGGTGTAGTAAGTAGGACTGTTTTCCTTATATGGTGCTAATGCGGTTAGAAATGTGTGCTGTAATTCTAACTTTAATAAAAGCCCCTAAAAAGATAAAAAATACTTAAACTAAGTCCCACAAATCCTCAGTTCTGTCATCAGGATTTCAACAAGACAAGCCATTGTGTCGCTCACCGAACACCTAGTGCCCTCCCACGGCACTGAGATGACACTAACCTGTATCTTCCTGCCAACACCTCTCATCATCAGAACTCCAGCTACACTCAGTGGAAAACAACTGAGAATTGTGTACAAACCAGGGGACGTCTGCACCATTTGCTCTATCTCAATCACTCTCTTAGTTTCATGTCACTTTATCAGCTGTCACGATCCAACAAAAGCAAAAAGCAAAAAGCAAAAAAAAAGTCCACAAACCAGCTACAACGTTGTGAGGAAGCATACCGAATGATAGCTTTACTGTAGACTCAGTGCCAGCGCCAGACAGCATACAGTTAAGTGTTTAAGACATTTTAACATTTAGCTGCTTCACACGATTACGACCCAAAACAAGCTCCCTAGGGCAACGCATGCACTGTCAAACAGGAAATATCACACACTCACCTTCCACCCATAGCTGTTCAATGTTGGTTTCGATGGCTGCGACTCGGAGTCCCACAGACAGAGCCCCGAAAACTAAGAGTCCAATAAAGAGGACCTTCCCACAGTGCCTCTGGATGTAGCAGCCCAGAGAGAATAGGAAGGCCTGGAACCTCGCCCGGATCCAAAGAGGAGCTTTCTGACCTACTGCCTTCCCCTGGATTGGAAGCAGGAAGAGGATGAGAAAAGAACATTATTATTATTATTATTAGTTATTACTATTATACTACACATAATCATGCTTACTATCTCAAAAAGGTTGGTTGCATATCTTTTCAAACAACGTTGTGCAAGTAAATTCTAAACATTTGAAGAGCCATGCATCTGTATTCAGAGACAACATATGTTTGTTATTTAAATCATGCTTTTCATAAAATGGAGACAAGTCGTGGTGCCAAAGAGCTCTGATGCAGGTCTTATGTGTTAAATCTCAGGCTAGACATTATCTGTAGTCCTATCCCAATAATACGATTTAAATGACACTGTGTTGGGACTATTTTGTACTTAATGACGTCCTTATTTAAGGAGAGAGATTTCCAGTGTTTTACCTTACAGCCTAGAGGAGCTCCCATAAATAAGAAAAATAAGAGGTGACAATTTCATTCCAAAGCAAAATGCGTGACTTTAATAAAAGCTGAAAGTTAAAACTGTGAGTTTGTTCAACTGAAAAGGAGCCATTAATACATTTACTATGCAGTTCAAGCTATTTCTATAACTGTAGCCCAACAGAAAAATATTAATGGATATCTTTTGCTTTAATTTGGTTCTACTTCACATTTTATGAATAATTTTACACCCAGCTGTCTAATCTCTCATTTGCTGTGAACTGCCACAAATGTCACTGCTGCGCTAGGAGACATTGCTGTAGTGTTGTGGTTTCTCGCAGCAGTGCTGAAACACGTCCAAGCATCCGGGCGGTCCAAAGATGCTTTGTCAGATCAAACTCAATCAGTGAATTCCTTTACAGGACCCACCACATTTCCAAACAGACCCCGGGCCAGTGCGCTCTCCGCTGGCTGCACACAGTCAAAAAAACACGCACAACACGCCTGGGATAGAGTATGGGAACAAGCCCTTATCTTTCTTTCTCTCTCTCGCTCTCCTCGCGGTGGCTTTTAACAGCAGAAATCAATGAGAAGCCGATGTCAGTTCAAATAAACAGCAGAGTTAACATACAGCTAAAAAAGAAGACTCGTTCATTTGTTATCGCTTTATTCCGCTCCCCCAAAATGTCACGCAGGTAGGCTTTTGGTTAACACGGCTCTGTCCAGTTAAAACGATTTATGTTATATTACATCAGCTTCTAACGGCAATGTTTCCCTTCAGTATTAAATAGTCAAATCAAACCGATCCCGATTTCGCAGTCGTCTCCCCTCAGGGGAGCACTGGTGGTCCCCGGACTCCGGTTTGATAGCTGCTGCTTAAAGTCTACACCGCATTCCCATATGCGACCCTCAAATCCCGATTAGATAACCTAACTCCTAAATAAATAAGCTGCCTTTTTTTTAGGGGAAACCTTTCATTCACATCTGCCGACTGGATGAAAGCTGTATTCACAGAAAAATCCACTCTAGACTGCGACCAGTGTATCACCTTTGAGATCTGTTTGAGTGCGAAAGCAGCGTGGCAGTAGCTGGGTCTCCGGAGTAAGTCTGGGTTCGCAGGCGGCTGGGAGCGTGTGTAACTCGGGGGTAAATCTCCAAAGACGCCGGCCCCTGGGACCCCGCGATCCGAGGCCATAGTCCAAAGAGCGTGAACGGCACGCAGAGCGAAGCGACACAGAATCGGTGCGAGTTCAGAAAAAGCGACAATAATCCAACATAGAAGTAGAGCGCATCCAGCAGCACCGGCAACAAACTAGAAGAACGTTTTCTAGTCTTCCTTTGAGCCAAACAAGTCTCTAAACTCCATCCCAACATTATGCGCCGGAGTCCGTATAGATCCTTCCGTCTTCATTCGTCCCGATGGTGTGTGAACCGACGTCTCAGAGAGGAGTAGTAGCTCTAGTAGTAGTAGTAGTAGTAGCTTATGTCTGAGCCGTCCGTGTCAAGTCTAACTCCGATCCCGTGGCGGTAACATTTGGAGAAGTTCGCCTCTCGGCAAATCCTGAAAAGGAAGGTTTGATGGAAAAGTGCTCCGGCTCCCATTGGCCAAGGAAGAGGCAAATTACTTTGCAAACATCGCCTATTATTAGCTGCTAAGCAACAGCTCACCAAAGTGGAGAGAGAGGGGGACCACCCAGGCTGCTGCTGCCTGGGCTGGAGGGAGGGGGAGGAGGACGGTGGGGAGGAGGGGAAGGGAGAGAGGAACTCTTTCAATAAACTGTGCACGGCCGCGCATGCAAACACACACACCCGCGCGTGCGTGCGTGCGCGCACACATTTACGCACACAGCTCGCTCCCTGCTCCCTCACTTGCTTAGTGAGCATTATTCCCAGTGGCCTGGCCTCCAGTTTGTAGAGGCAATCGCACATGCCATCTATTGATATAACAGCGACAGGCATGCACGCACACACAATTTTCAGATTTTCTGTTTCATCAACACGAGCCAATCAGTGAAAGGAAGAAGGGGGGGAAGGAGAAGAAACGTGTTTTTATAAAGAATTGTAAACATGTGATTCTTCTTTTGTATGGGGGGAATTAGAGATCTTTCAACACTTTTCATATCACTCCAGGGCATCTTATGTTTTGGAGCCTCCACATTTGTTAGACATTTCTAGCTTCCCCAGCCTTTGCTGTGAGTGCAGTTTGTTTCAGGCAGCTGTGGAAAGAAGCGTGTGATCCTGTAGGTTCTTAGCACTAAACAGCTGTAATCTCACCTCTTGCGGCCAAAAGCTTCTAAAAGTAGGTTGGTGGGGTTTCTCACATCCTAGAAAATATCACCCCTCAGTCCTGTAAGGCAAGCCTTTTAAAAGACGGGGGAATTATTGGACACGTGCATCTCTTTCATTAACGCCTTGGTGCCGCCTGGTTTCTCTGCAAAAGCCTTATCTCTCTGGAGAGACTTTTGGAGAGTTTCCATGTCTCGCCATGCATGGTTTCATGAGTTCAGAAAGCAGCTCACCTAAGGATAATGTCTGAAAGAAACAAAGAAAGAAAGAAAGATTGTTTTCTCTCTCATAAAGTAAGTATAGGGTGTCTTGGTGGTTTGCTAATGTAAGCCTCCACTGGCCCCACTCATGACTGTATGGGGGTGAAGTACAAACACTTTACTGGATTACAAAGTCATTCTCCACCTAAACACTGACCTGTGCTGCTGTGCAGAACATTTGTCAGGTGGCTGTTACTAATTTGAGGCCCGTTGGGTGACTGTAAAACTATCTGAAGCTAAAGTTAAGCTGTTTGAACATGTCTGTGATGGTGCTATGAGCTCATTTGGTTTATCACTTTGCTGCTAAGTTGTTATGTCAGTTTTCACTGTTTGCATGATATCGAGACAAGAATAAGAGATAGAGAGACATGGGCAGGCTTATAGTGATATTCTATTAAAGGGGCTCTTGCACACCATGAAGAGCATAACACGGGGACCGAAAAATGATCTTTATTTCGCAATTTTTCATTTTTTACTACTACTAATAATGAAAAGTCAGATGAGGAGTCAGATTGCAGAGTTAGAATAAGAAAGAAGACACCGATGCAAGAATGAGGTACCAGGGATGATACCGGTCTACAATAAAGTCTGATGTACAGGTTCTGGTTGACCAAAACCTATTAATTGTGCACATATAATGAATGATAAAACAATTTTAGGTGGGTTATGGATTTTCCAAATTATTCAGATTTTTTTCAATTTCTTTTTATGTTTAGGTGTAGTAATAAAATAAAATACATTTGAAATATTTGATATGAATGTAAAGTCTAATTAGTTGCCAGAACTTTAAAGAAATATGCAAACTCATTGACTAAAAAAAACTAAGTAAAGCTTACTCAAGATAACTAAGTTAGGGCAACTTAGTACAGTTGTGAATGCCTAAAAAATAAGTAAACTACAAGAGCCTTTGAAAGAACTCCCTGTACCAAGTTTTAAATAAAGTGAATAGAGCCACACACTAGTACAAAAGAATTAATACTGTTATTCTTTTACATGCGTGCCATGTCGCTATCAAGTTTAATACAACTCAGTAAGATAGTTTTACAAACAGCACTGAATATGTTTGTATAAATATTTTATTGCATTGCATAAGAAGGGCTTATAACATCACTGATATGAATTATTAAAAACAAAAAAAGAAACACAAATATTTTAAATGAGCGATGTCAAACTCATTTTACACTGTGGGCCACCTACAAGCTGACTTTGATCTTATGTTTCTGTCAGTGTGCAGAACATTTAATCCCATGCAAGAAAAAGAAGTATGTCTCTTAATCTATATGATAAAGAAATGCTGCTGTAGTAAATGAAAGAAATCTGTCAGCACGACTCTTCGAGCTTAAATTGTAAGAAATAAATATGTCGGGTTGCTTATTGCCCAGACTGTCCTGTAATTATAAATGCCCTTTCTTTTTCTTAAAAAAAAATACTGTGTAGCCTCTGTATAAAAATGAAATTTTTTTAGAAGATGGGGAAAAATTTCTATTATTTCATTGATTATTTATTATGTATTTAATTAGGTGTAGTATGAATGGCCATGGGGTGGATATTTATCTGTAGCCAAAGCTGTAAAAATGCTTTTAAAAATCCTCCTTTACATTTTCCAAAGCTGTTCAGAGTCCTGGCTGGAAGTCTGCCAGGCCAGTTCTGACTCCTGGGCCTCATGTTTGACAACGCTGTTGTAAGTAGTTAATAGGATAGTGTCATAAAATCACTGATAATTGCAGTAAGAATAAAACATAATGTGACAAATCACATAGAACATGTTGAGTAAACAAAGCATGTTTATATTATTATCATTCTTTTTCATTAGCATCTTTAAACAGCAGCCAGTGTCCAGCATAAGCCAATTAATATGAAATATTGCAAAAAAAAAAAAAAAGTGGTTTTATATTGAGTAAATATGTGCTAATATTTTTGACCAACACCACTGGTTAATTGTTGGGTAACTCGGATAAGGACAGTAAATATTACTAAAGGTTTCATGAATTTGAAAAATCTGTCAAACTGCTTAGAAAAACCATTGTCATCATCTTTATCATCTTTTAGAGTAAAACAGCACAAATTCACCATCACTCAGTGTGTCATCCTATCTATGGAGGTGACATGTAGACTCACAGGGTACTGTCTTCAGTTCTCATTAACCACCCCTGCCACTCTGCAGATGTTCACTAACATAGCTGGATATTGTAAACACTTCTTCATCTTGATCTTCAGTCACAGGCGTCCATCTGCTCCTATAACCTGCTCATGTCCAGGAGTGGCACTCGAAGGCCTGTTTTTCCCCTTCGTGGAACTGGGCACGGCTTGCCTGGACTGGGTTGGGCCAGGCTGAGTGGTAGAGGGAAACAGGCAGCTGGAAATGGGAGCTCATGTGGAATGTGAGGAATTGGGTTGTGTGGTAGGGGGCCCCTTCAAGCCTAACAAACTCAGGGAGGTCCGAGGCCTGGTCTGGAGGCCTTGGATAAATAAACCATCTGAGATGACCATGCGCTGTGCAGATATCTGCCATCACACCTCCCTGGCTTCTAAACACAAACCACCCAAGCCCTCTCTCCTTCTTTCACCTTTCCATGTCCTTTGTCCCACATGGTGCCTCTCCCAACTTCCTCTTTCTTTATCATCTCCCCTGTTCTGTCTTCCCTGCCTTTATCTCCACTTATCAGAATCAGATTTTTTTTCCCCCCTTCATCTCGCATTCAGCCTCCCCAGTCCTGCTCTCCCTCCCTCCCTCCACCTCCCCCTATCTCCATTCCTCCATTTCATCTCTCCCCAGAGACTCCATCCATCGAGCCGTTCATCCATGCATGGCTGGCTGTCCGTCCGGGGTTCTGTATGTGCTATAGGCAGTGCTACGGAACCGCTCTGGCACTCAGCCGTCTCACAACAGCAGAGACACTGGGTGTTCAGGCCCACGGTGTTTATTTTCTCAAAGGCTCATGCCGCCTTTTCTCTCATAAAGAATAAATAAAAGCAAAGAGGGTCTTCACGTGGAAGACACACTTAAACCCATATAGCCAGCAAAATGAGCTATTACAAAAAAACGGTTTATATATAATACTTCAAGAAAGGAGCAGGGAGTCGTGTTGCTCAGAAAAGTGCTGAACTGCAGTGCTTTCTGAGGGTTGTGGGAAAACTGGGGGGGACAAAATAACTGATTGGATTTGGAGCATGCACAACATGTCAAAAATTTTCTAAACGTTTCTGGATTCACTTTTGAAAAAGAAGACTTTTAAAATAAAAATCCTTCCATTAAAATGCACCAATGCAGGAGGTCAAAGCAGAAGTGGCTGTCCTTCTCTTATCCTCTTCTAAAGTTGTGTGTGTCTCTGTGTCGAGCTGCATATCATATTATTATTATGTCCTTTTATGTCCAGTTAATAGTTAACATGCCAATTAGAGAAAGTAATATAATTTAATCAAATTTTAGACACTTTCCCAGTATTACCTAAAGGCACTAAAGTATCTTATACATAAAAAATAAAATAAATTAACAAACAATCAAAACTTCAGAAGACTAGCCAGCGATCAGGGCGATAAGATCATAATTTTCTACCCCCTCATTACACAATTTTGATATTTTTCAATATTTTGTCATGCGTCTTAATATTTCAGTATACTGAAACATTAATCATGAGAGCATCCCATCCAGATCTAACAGAGAAAAAGACTCAGACATAACAGGAAGAAACAAAAAAAAAAAAGTCTCTGAAAAAAATGAAACAGAACAGTCACAAGCACGTTTAAAGTCAAGCCCCATTTAAATGCACAGATTATGTTGACAGATGACCAAAGCAAATATTTTAGAAAGATAAACAAAAACACTGGATCAGTTTTAAAATTCTGAAAATGTTTGTATTGTTTCAGTTATAAACTAAATTGCACACGATTCGTGTAAAGTTCACAAAGCCACATTGGTGGGAAGACCCTGTAAGTTTTTCCAGCTTGATGACACACACAAACTTTTACTTCCCAGATATCAGTGAAAAGGCTCAAAATTTGCCTGGGTGCTGAGAGACACTTTCTTTATTGAGCATCTCTGTCAGTCTCAGAGGAGAGTCAAAGCTGCCACCCACAGTCTCACACAAGATTAATTATGATAATGCACTCCTATACCCCTTTGTCATCGAAATGAATGGTTGCCTTTCTGGGGGGAAAACACACAAAACCCGGAGAGAGACAGTGAAACACACTTTTCTTTAAGTCTTTGTTCGTGCGGTTGTAACAGAGGTATTGTCAGATGCAGCAAGCAGGTGGCAATGGAAACTTAGACCTGTAGCCTTTACAAGAAAGTGCGAACATGCATATGTATGGCAGTGAGAGCAAGCATAGCTGAAATGGTATAGCTTCTCCAAAAAAAAATAGTGCCACACTAGTTTGATTTAAAAGTGTTGAAGCTCATCAGAAAAGCTCCACCTTAAAGATTTTGAAACATCGGGCTCTTCTTCACATGAGATGCATTTTTTTCCTTCAGTAGAAAACTGAGGCTGAAATTGCTGATGTCTTGCATTTCAGACGTCACTGAAGACTTTCTCACTATTTTAAAGCCAATAACAAGCAGCTTTTGCTTAAAGCTGGACAGAATCAAATGAAAATATCACTGAATGTCTGAGAAACAAACTTTGGGCTGTTCCAGCTTAACACACAGCGGAATGAGATCAGAAAGAACGGAGTATCTGAAGACTTCTTCCTTTGATGTTGCTGAGAAAGATGTGATCCCAGCCGAGCGCCTAATCAAAGTTTAGTTAATTTGCTGGAGAGGGCAAGGGTGTGCGTGGGAGGTTGGGGGGTTACAATGTGACAGACAGCGATATCTGGCTTAGTGTAGGTGTGTCCGAGGAATGTCACAGGGGTTGTTACCCCACACACTGAATCTGTGTTGCCACACACACTCTTTGTTGGCCGAGCAGCATAAGCAACTGTTGTATGTAATACTTGTAAAAGGGGTGTTTGTGTGCATATGTATTCAAATGTTGGTGTGTGCGTCTGTGTGTGTGTTTTTGGTGTGGTGGTAGCATCTTAAAAGGTATAGTGTGTGGAAAAAAAAAAAAAGAGGGAGGGAGGAAATTCATTTGTGGCCAGAGAACACAGAAGACAAATTGAGGAAGTGTTGTGCTAATGTGTAGGGGTCAGCAGCAAACACACGCAGGTTTCTGACTGACTGCCACTTGGGTGGCCTGCTTGCTCTCTGTGTGTGTGTGTGTGTGTCTGTCTCTTACTCACCCACAATCAGCCCTCAAGCCACGAAGCCACCCATCGTCTCAGACACCCCCACCACCACCCAGAGCACAGACTCCACCCCACCTCTCTGTGCATCTGTTTGTCCGTGCACCACACATTTGCCTCCACTGTCCATCTGACCCACCCATCTTGTACTGCTCTTTATTTCACACTTCTCCATTAAAACTTGAGTTCACGATGACTGACCCATCACTGAGCCACTCTGAATCTGATCTATTTGTTCTAAAAAAATTTTAAAAAATGAACAAACTCCCAACAAACTTTGAGTACTTTCCTTTCTGCTTCTAACATAGTGATTCTTAGTACTCGTCTTAGCTAAGTCCTAGATAAGTCCAAATTTAGAAAAGTAAATACTTCTTTACCAAATCTATCAGCTTTACTCTGGATGATCCAGACTTTACTTTGGATAGTTTTCCCCACAGCATCTTCAGTAGACAGTATTGCTCCAAGAAAAGCAAATCAGTCATTTACAGACTATCAAGAGTCTCTGGAACACTAATTTCTGGAAAAGTATTATATATATTTTTTCATTATTTTGTGTAACACAAAGAAGATTGATTTATTTCAGTTTTATTCAGGCGGTGGCCAGGGTGTGGCGTTATAAAAACTAAAAGTTCACAGTCCCTGGAGGGTAAATGAGACCCCACTTTTTCAGATTTACATGAACTTCCCCTTTTAAACTACAAATCGGCTAACCAGATGTCTTTTATTATACAAATCAGATAGCATCAGTCCAACATGCCCAGAGGTGTCATATAATGCATTTATCTTGACAAAAAGCATTAAATGTTGACAACCATTTGAATCTTCCCCAACCAACACTGAGCCACTTCCCAGACTCTTAACAAAAGGAAAATAAAAAACCTCTGATGAGAACCAGTCTGCTGAACTCCAGACCTCTGTCAAGTTTTATGTCTTTATAATTCAAGCACACCATCACAAAACAATGCACACTTCACACTCAACAACCAGGTGTAAACACTCACCACAGAGTCATGCGGAAAAAATTAAAAGTTTGTCTAAATTTCACAACCGTTAAGACAAATCTTGTGGACAACCAATAATCATCTATGAAATGGTTCTGTATCACAGATGACTGGTTTTATGATAAAACACACGATCAGGTCTTCATAGCTTGCAAACCTTTGGATGCACGTGCGCACATGTGCATTTGCAGTCGTTCACAGGGTTATCAGTTGCTGTAACAGAAGATTAATAATGGTCACACACACGCACAAGCAAACAAATCTACTGTATGTGCCGGAAGACGAGTTCAGCCATGGTGGTGCTTTACTGAGGGGGCTCCGAGGTATTTGCGTAAATATACAAACCTTTACCCAAACACACCCGGCTGCCAGATCTCATCATGTGGTCGAGGAGAGAGGTCAGAGTGGAAATTTACCAAAAGCGTAAACACGGCCAAGACAAAGAACACAGACAAAGTGAATCTTAACTGTTGTTTTTATATTTTTTAAGCTAGTAAATGCAGTCTTTCAACACCGCATTTAGTCACCCTCGACATATGAGGAGAAGTTCCAAAGTAAGAGCCCTTTGCAGAAACCACTGGCTTGTCATGACTGCTGTGATTGCAATACTTCATCAAAAATGAGACAATTTCACATTGAGAATGAAAGGTAGATTTAACGTTTAAATAAGCATAAAAATGATTAGTAAAACTTTTAGCAAAAGTTTCACACAGAAATTGGAATAAAGATAAAATGAGGTAGAAAAAGCAAGAAGCTGCAAAGTAATTTGGTCTGTGTACTTTCTGCAGTAAATACAGTGAGAAGACATTTCTGTGGTGCATCCCGAACAGCCACATAAGTGTCTGAAAAAGCTCGTTTTTTCAGCCTGACGCACACACTTATAAATAAAGTGTAACTCCTTTATTCGTATCACACCCCCAGCTTAAAACTGAACTCATGATAGTGTCATTTTACATTTACATGCATATTCTAAACTTACTATTTAAAGATGACCGCCCGGGTTTCTACAAATCCTGAAACAAACTGCTATGGAGAGAGATTGCAATCCTTCTCAAGCTAATTAGGACAAGTAAGTCGCTGCTAATTAAGCTTACAAAAAATAAAATGTCTTTCTACAAATTTAAGATCCATGATTTAGTTTTCCAAGATCAAGCTGTGAGTAGCTCCTGTTCTCTTTCCTAAACGATCAAGGTTATTTTCGACACATTACACAAACCACCGACTGAGTTTATTAATCAGAGAAACAACCCTTTAAGGGTAAAACTTTGTGTCAACTATTACTGCTTTAAGAAACTCAAATAACGAATGAAATCTATAGTTTTGACTTTTAACTGCATGATTCATACTTAAGTCCATATCTCGCATTGTTAAACTGTTATGGCAGTAAATTGTACTTTACAAGAGTTTACATACAAAGTCAGAGAAGTAACTGTCATTTTTAGTGAGTATTTATTTGAAACACATGACTGTACAGCTGATATAGACAAACAAGGCTATCTAAAGGACAGCAGAGAGGGGAAGAAAAAAATAAATAAAAAAACCCCGGACCACGATAATCTCTCTCCTACACACACGGGAACATCACATAATCAGGCCACAAGAGACAGTCTAGATGTCTCATGCAAGGCCACAGACACAATAAGAAACTGGGGACAGTAAATCACGCGCACGCACATGTACACAAAAAAGCATCCCTGCAGACATCCCTGTCCTCATCTTCTTCCTTTGTGACTAAGGAACCCTCAAACCTGTAATTTAAGAAAAAAGTCGAGTGATGGAATGCAATAAATCTCGTGACAGCAAAAGGAGCAGTAATGGAAAGAGGAGAAGAAAGAAAAGCATCGGGTGCAAGTCGGCTTCCTCCTTTGCTGCGTTCGTGAACGCGTGTGCGTGTGAGGGCGGGGTGTCGGTGTTAACTGATACAGGATCAAGTTGGGTGGTCCGGGGCCTACACATACACCATTTTTGTGTACAAATAAACTCAACCCCCACGCCATTGTGGTCTCCCTCCCACTGCCTTTTCTCTCCCTTCTCTGGTCTTCACAGCTGCACAGTGTGCATGTGTAAACACCCGTGAACATTCGAACGTGCATGAGTGCGCGCTCCTCCCTCTGGAACAGGCTAAATTGAGTAATTGACTGCTGCTATTAAGAGACAGTAATGATCTGATAATAACTAATGTGGTGACATGATTGCTAAGATTGACTCGGTACTGCCACAGAAAAAGTCTGTAAAATGAAAGAAAAAGAGGATTTCTTAAAAACAGTAAAAGAAATAAAATAAAATAAAAACACGGATCCACAGGTTCAAGTTGACGTGAGTTTATTTGGACACTGTGTACAAAAAAGCCAATTGAGGTCAAAGTCTAGGCTTCTGATTGGCCTATCCGCTGGGGGAATTAGGGCCGTGTTTTGCTGCACTCGGATTGGTTAATGAGGTGAAAACTAGATCTCCATGAGCTGGTCTGTTCCAACGATGATCTCGTTAGTCCGTTCAGCTGCAGAAAAGAGATATGACAAAGAGATTATATCAGTTGCAAACTTTGCAAGTCTAGCTCTTGTGATCTTCACAGTTGAAAAAATAAAACAGGGGAAAAAATGACGCAATAATCCTCTCCAAAACCGTTTGAACAAATTCAAAAATGTGCAATCCACAAATGTCAGCTTCAGTGATCTCTTCCTGAATATTGCCACCATGCAATATTGACTTGCACTAAACACATTTAAAAAAAATATTTCAAATGCTGAATGACTATAGATAGTTGTTGGGCTTTAACAATACCCATAATGTGCTCATCGTTTGAAAACGACTGCCTGTAATGTGAACACCTTCCCTTCCACATCACACACACAGCAGTGCTGACATATCACTGGCTACAGGTGCCAAACAAATATTCGATTTTTTTCGTAAGAATGCAAAGATTTCTAATAATAAAATTTGTCATTTGGCAGCTACATTTATACCTTGGACTTCTCGTGCACTTTTTCATGAGTTTTTTTTAATCATTTGTTTACAAACATTATACCATGAAGATCCTGGAGCACAGTTTTAGTGCTAATGTTACTGCTGGAAGAGGTTTGAAATCTAGAGTTATTCAGTCGGCAGAGAGTTGGTGATTTCTACAATCTACGCTCCTCGGGTTACTGTTGTTCAACTTTGCGATAATAACACTTACAGCTGATCGTGGAATATCTAGATGGGAATTCATTTTATGAATTGACTTTTTGCAGCAGTGGTGTCTTATTGAAGTACCATGTTCGAATCCAGTGAGCTTTTCAGAACAACCAACTCTTTCACAAACGTTTTCAAGGCAAACTGCATGGCTAGGTGCTTGACTTTATATACCTGTAACAATTTTACTGAAAACACCTAACCTAAAAGATCAAGAGGTGTGGCCTAACACTTTTGTCCATTTAGTGTAACCTTCATTAACTGAAGAAGAAAAAAAAAATCAACTAACAAAATATTTAGTGCAATAGAAAGTCTATTTTTTATTTCTGCATAATATTTCCAGTAGCTAACAAACTGAATACACATCCAATAAGGAGTTAATTGGTTCTTTTCCTTTCTTAAATCATTCTCTACACAAAGCTAGTTTAACATGAGGAAAGTCAGCCCCAACTCCTCCCCGCATGGCTCTTTCCCTCCATCCCCGAGCATCGGTACTGATCCAAAGCAAACGGTGGCAGAGAGTTATGTTCCATCCACACAGACAGGTTTTAGTGTGAAGGAATCTGTTGCTCAGAATGAGCTTATCCTCAGCAGTGAAGAGGGGAGAACAAATGGAGCATGGGACAGCAGGAGCGGGAACAAGAGGGAGTGACTGGGAAGAAAGGGAGGAAAGGTTACTCACACTGGGCCAGATAATTTGTCACTAACTAATAGAGTTTGTAGATGTATTAGGACCATATGTAACATTACATGTTACATATTTCTACTGCTGGGCCTGTGACACATAAAAGGAGCCAACACGTGGGGGTAAAAAAACCCCTGTGTTTTGGAATAATTATTACTGTGACTATTTCCTTTTCCACCCTTCTTATAGCAACGCATTCTTATCAAAAGCTGCTGTTTGCATTCGGTCATAGATAATCTTTGCCTTTTTTTGTCTATGTTTTTGAAGCCCACTTATTCTATGCCTACATCATAAAATGTGCTACACATATAAACAGAAAGAAAGAGAGCTTTCTTAAAGAAAACACTGAATTGTTTTGTAACTCACTGAATAAAAGCACACCTTCAAAAGCATCTAAGACCAGTGCGTGATCTCAGATCGTTGGCATGTGTAAATAAAAGGCAGTGTATGTATGACACCTGCAATAGCGAATGCATATCTGAGTGTCAGAACACCTACAGGAGAGGTATGTATCTTTAAAATATCAACACCTGATGGACGTAGACGTGTGTATCGTATGTGTGCGTGCGTGCATGCGTGCACGTGTGTGTGCGTGGCTAACTGTCAGGGTGGTCCTTAGCTGCTAACAGCTTCAGCAGCAGAGTGGGTGTGTAATGTCTTTAGCAGCCCACTGTCAGCCAGCTAATTTGGTGGTGAGAGGTAATCTTGTGCTCTCCTGCAGTAACAATGTAATGCAGGAGGGAAAGAAGGCTTATCTTTACTGCAAAGCATTACACAGAATAATCTGATCTGACCCGTTCTTCATACACAGCCAGGCTGTGTGCGAGCCACTGTTAAACTGAATCTCCAGAATTGTTGTGTTAAATCTTTTGAAGTAATTTACGGCAGATTAAGTGAACATATATTAAAAACCTGTGTGAAACTCTTCTTTTTCAGTCTGTTTTTATTTCCTAGCCTGCTAATTGATTTTGAAATCCAGCACATGCATGCCAAAATATGAAGGGAAGTTTATGCGCCAAATTAGAGGAATAACAAACATTTCAGTGAACCCAGGACCTATATGGCACGTCGCAACTTCAGTCACCGAATCAAATCTCTCTGCTGTATCTGCTACTTTTTTTGTTTTTTTCTTAAACTGTAAAATCTTCTAAGGAAGACGACTGGCTTTGGGTTGTCTGATGAATCTGACTTCAGTTTGCTGTATACACTGGACGTGTTAAAATAAAAGGAGACAATTTATGGCGAAAGGCTGGATCTTTGCTGTTGTTTTGGCCTTATAGCACATGCAAACACAGGTCCAAGTTTCCAGTGTTTAGTATAATAATGTCAGGAACTGTCTAACAGCAAAAAGGGGGAAAAAAAACAAAACAGCTGAAGCAAGATCAGACTTCCTGCAGCAATCGCTCACTGGATGCTCCAAAAGGCTTCAGCTGTTTCCAACAGTTTTAGACAAGTTTAGCTCAAATTCACACTGTTGTTTCTTGGAACACCCTGTTGTTCACTCAATTAGGCTGCTCAGTCTGGTAGCTGAGCTCGCCCTCTCTTTCTCTATACGTGTGTGTGTGTGTGTGAATGCGAGTGTGTGTGGATGTGGCTGGAGGCTGTTGAATTCCGGGTGGTCCTGTTCTGGCCCTGCTCTCTAACCTCTCCATCAATGTGACACACACATACATACACACACGCACAGCTAGCTTTTGGGACAAGAGGATTAAGGAAATTAAAAAAAAAAAATCTCTGACAAATCAGACTTGAGAATGAAGAAACTTTCCTAGTTGGCTCAAACACTTGGCACTTATAAACAGATACCACACACATACATTAACACCTTATCCGAGTCAGCCAGGGAGAAGTACAAATAAGCGCATCAACAAAACCTGGATGTTACAGCCTGTCAGAGCTATTTTTTGTGCTGGAAAATGTTAAGAGCGCAAGATGTCTCTGCTTTTTTTGTCCATACTAGGATTTTACTGCCCATTGTTCAGGACATTTGTTTTACTGAGGCCATCATTTATCCCATAGTGTCCATTTAGTTTGGGGATTGAAAACATGCTCCTGTTTAACTGTCATTTAAAAGAATTAAAAGTCCAAATGTACAAACCGAAATGCGAGTACTGACAGAGGAAACAGGAGTTGACTACAGTGTGGGCACCAGAGCAGCTATTAAACTCACCTTGTGGTGAAACTGCTTTGCCAACTGGTCAAATAAATAAATAAATAAAGCCATATAAGTGCTTATAAAGCCAGAAATTATAATGTTCACAAACCCATTACAACCAGACAAACTACCTGCCGAGGTAGACTGTTTCATATGACTAAAATCGAACGGCAAGACGTTGGCGTGCTGAGAAGAGTGAACAGGATAAAATGAAATCAGGTGATAAACACTGATAGGCCATTTCTTCATATGTGTGTATTTATCTCGGTGCCTCTTACCTTCTGGTTCGATGTGTTGTCCATTTCCCACCAAACAGTATTTGAGGTCTGCTCCTCTGCCAATAACAGCATTACTGCAGATCACGCTGCCTTGGATATTACACCTGAAAATAACACACACACAAACTGCATGAATTTGATTTTATATCAATAAATCTGCATGTGTGCTGGCCACTATGTTCCCACAGTGATGGCTATGCATGGAGAGCTAACAGGTATACAATATACCTGCCGTGCAGTACCTGGTGAATGGCATCTTACGACGATGCCATTCGTCAGCATGTCGGTTTTTACTGCAGTTTTAATGGTATATCAGTACAGATGTTCATAGAATCACAGATGTTGCAACAATTTGAAAATATAAGACTTTGTAGAAAATTTATTTGCCTCTGGTTTTGACTTCTTCTCTCCAATATCAGTGCTGATGGGGACGTGTTTTTAGAGTGATCACACCTATTGTTCAAAAGAAAACTGCAGCAGCTACCTACACTGTGGCGATGAGCATAAACGGACGTGGCTGCGAGATGGCGTTATCGGCAGCACACGAAGCGACCAATGTGGCACGTATACTGGGCAATTAACGCTCCTTTAAACAGAGGAAAGAAAACTGACATTACATGAAGAGATGCCACAAACTTGTGGCTCTCTTTGCACAACCACTTTACCAGAGATTTCATGAAAAATACCCTTGCTCATCCAGCTAAAAATCTCATCGGGATTTAATCGCTGTTTCAAGAGTGACATGAGTAACAAAAGCAGTCACATTGTCCAAGAGAACTATTTTCTCAGTCTTCTAAAATTGACATAAATATTATTCCACACTATCCTCAAAATATTACAAAAATGCACAAATTTCCCTTCCTAAACATACAGTTCAAGAAAATCCTCTTAAAAGACTCATAAATCTTGTATTACCTGAATAAGGGATGAATCAGTAGATCATTAGTGCTAAAACATTATTTTTCAGCTCAGTTGTTTGCTCTCTGGGCCCTTATGTAAATACGCACAGGCAGGTACACACAGCAAAGAACATTCATGCAGCACTGGGAGCTTCACAGGAAAGGCGCAGCTTTCCAGCTGGGCGCTAAGCTTCTTACTTGTACCGTCATGGACTGAGGGCCACACCGGAGGTTACACAGACATTCGGACTGTTTTCCCCACCTCACACCTGCTCCGAAAACACAAAACTATCCAATCAAACAAACTTAATGACACAACATTAGCATCTCTATTAAGTTACGAAAGGCGCCCACGCTGTGTGCGCATATATGTGTATGTGTGTGTGTGTGTACGCTGTAGGCCCCGTTCTGGAGTCCCACCTGAGCTGGCAGTGCCAACCCACTGTGCATGCTCACATTCAGCCAAACCATCACCATAAAATTCTTGGAGAGAGACACAGACAGTCCTGTGTGTCCTGTGTCGACTAACCATGAAGGGCGTGTATGTGCGAATGTGTGTGTGGGGTAAGAAACGCGCGTGTGTTTCAGAAGCTCGAGAAGCCCAGTGGAGAACACATGTAGGTCTTGCCCAGGCAGTGACGCACACACACTTGGCCCTGTGCACCTCACACACAGACAGGTTTGTATTGGCCCATTCTATTCAGGTGGTTAGGCTTGGAGGGAGACAGAGAAAAGAGTGTGTGCGTGTGTGTGTGTGTTTAAGTTACTACCTAGAAGGTGGTGGTGGTAGTTGGTGATGGGAGATTACAAGATTCAGAGTTTTGTAACATTAGAGAGAGAGGGCGAGAGAGAGACCACCAAAGAAGCTTCGAAGCTGAAACACCACTAATTACTAACACCAGGGCTCCTCCTTGCCATGACCCCCCCCACCATCCTCCCTCTCTATTACCCTCATACACAAACACACACACACACACACACGCATGTCAACCCCCCACCTCCTGTGCCAACCCTCCCCTATAAAGTTGACCCCAACTATCCCCCTTCCCAAACATGCAGCGCTTTGTCAACAAGCTCTGGTCAGCACCAAACAAAGAAACCAGAAACACGAGGGGTTTCTGCGACATGGCTGGGGTCTGCTAATCCCCTCATACTGGCTCTTTCTTTCCTTCTTTCTCCTTCCTTCTTATGTCCTCAAAGAAAGAAAAGAAAGAATTGCAATTTCTTTCTTGCGTGCTAGCCTGCTTTCCCCTCGCTTCTTTCTTCCCTTCTCCTGTCTCTCTCATTCTTTCACGCCTTTGTGCGTGCACCTACATGGGCATGATGAGGGTCCCCATGCTAACTGGCTGGGGTCCCTGAAAGGCTTAAGAAGAGATTGCGAGAGACAGAAAGAGAGGGAGATGGCGTTGAGGCCTTGATGTAAAGAAAAGAGAGAGAGGAAGAAGAATTGAGATAAAAGAAACAGGAGCCTGTGAATGAGAGCATTAAAATCCAGAGCCAAGATGAGTCCCTTTAAACCAATATTCCTGCCCTAAGACACCATACAGATCAATCTACATGCTAATTCTACAGTAGACACTGTTGCTCTCTGTGCAAAGCAGTCAGTTCTTTCCACCTTAACTCTTGACTACAGCTGAAACTGGACTGGATAGAAATCCTGCTGCATCCTTACTCAGACTGGACTCAAATCACAACTACAACATCTGACATGCTCTCCATTGAGCTTCTGTGTTTCTTTAACCAAGTTGGAGTTCCTAAATCTCAAGCTGAAATGATGCAATTTGCAGCACATTGACTGTATGGTGGGTTTTTGTTTTGCTGTTAAAAATTATATGAAGTGGAAGAATAACATTTAAAAAAACCTACACAATTTGCAACACATTGTTACATGTAAGCACAGACGTGCATGTGTGAAGTAACTACAATGTTTACCTCCTGGTGAGCCTGATTAGACCCCTGTCCTGAAACCATTCTTTAAATAAAAGATGGCAAACTGGAGGGACAACTGATCCTTAAAGGCTAAACCAAACACATGATTTTATTAAATAGCGGCGGGCTATTAGGGAAAGCATCATCTGAACTCCTGTGGTATTCCAAAAATTCTACGACCAGTGGGAAACTGGGTATAGCCAAGTAATTTAGGCGCTTAAATGAAATGCATGGATGTTGTGTGTTTCACTTCACCAGCTCTGTGTTTGTTTGGAACCGGTCTCTGGCTGGTTGCACACCAATAGTTACATTGTTAACTCAGCGATCCCACAGAACGCAGAAAACAAAAAACCTGTTACACGTCCTATCACCGGACACACACACACACACACACACACACACACACACACACACACACACACACACACACACCAATAAAAAGGTATGCAGCGAATGAAGAGGGAGCCACATCTATGCTTTTATAAATTCTAAAAAAACCAAACAGGTTGATGACAAGTTTAGTGGTTTTTCAGAATAGCTGAGAGGCATAAATGTTCCTTCACTTCAAGTCAAGTAAATAATATAAACAGCTGAACAGGAGGATAAAAGTGTTTTTTCATGCTTCTGTTTAGAAACGTGTGCTTGCTAACTGCTGCTTGTCACCCACCACATGCAAGTAGCAACTTCACACTTAAAAAAACAAGCCAGATAATTAAAACTTTAATCTATAAACATGCCTTCAAGGTGAAATTCCCTTTTCTTTTCTTTTTTTTTTTTAGGTTAAATTAATGCGTTCAAGAAACCATTTCAAAGTACACAACCTCAGCAAGTGTGTGCATGTCTGTGTGTGTTCTCACCCCTCCTCGATGGTAACGCCATGCATGATGATGGAGTTGGTGACTTTGACCTTCTCTTTTACAGTGGTGTTGTTTCCAATAGTAGACCTTTTTATGGAAGTCTTGTCTGCAATGTGGCACACAGCTCCGATGATACTATCTGATCCCATCTGAAAGCCCACCACAAACAGCAACGGAGATACATGCATACACAATTTTAGTCCACGTATTGTAAAGTGCCTTTAGACGACAATAAAAGGCTCTGATGAAGTGAAGACAATCTGAAAAAGTTCAAAGCAAGAGGGAAATGCTAGATAACTGAAACGCAAGCATGGCTTGTAGTCTATATTCACCTGACATCTCTCAGAAATGTCAGCAGATGGATGGACTGATGGTTCTTCAAACAGCTTTGGGGCCTAGCAGAGAGAAAATGGGGGGAGTGAAAGAGTGATTAAGAAAGTAGTAATGAGTTTGAAAACAGACTGTAAACAAAAGATGGATGGAGTGTCTGCGTGTTTACAATGTTTCTTTTAAAAAGCCAAACAGGTTGACCATAAGTTTTTTAGTTTTTAGAATAGCTGAGAGGCATAAATGTTCCTTCACAAGTAAAATCAACTTAAAAGTGCATTCCTAAAAATGGCCATCAGGGGGCAGTTCCCAAGGTCCAACTGCAAAAAGTCTTTGATAAAAGGACCAGCTCTTACTAAATGTAAATGTCTTACTAAATGTATGACCATGTAAATTTATCAACAAATTGGTGACTGGAAATACTAAATCTGAAGTTTCAAGATGACATTTTACTGACAGCGCCGTGATGTCATCCAAGAAAGAAAATCCGAGAAAGTTGACTCATTTGGATGTAGCGTTTTCAGTGGGAGATGCATTTCATCACTCATCCAAGTGACTTCTTCAGTCTGGTTTCTCACGTTTCTCCCACTGATGTTGCTACATCCAGACGAACAGAATCAACTTTCTGGGAACAGCATGTACACATAAGCATTTAGGCTATTGTAGTCATGCCATACGCGTAAAAAAAACCCCAAACAAACAAAACAAACAGTCTAATGTTTGACTCACCAGTCGGTTCACCTCTATATAAGCAGCTAGAGTATTAACCCGGCAGCACAGACCCTGGTCCATAATGTGAACATAGCAGCGCAGCTTTCCTCCATGGTAGGCCTCACTCATATCACCGCGGTGGTCATTCCAGCAGGAGCGCTCCTGCGCCAGCTGGAGGAGAGGCTCGTCCCGAGATGAGATGAGGAGCTCTGGACATCAAAAGAGGAAGACATGCAGGAAGAGAAGAGGGTTAGAAGCTGATGCCTTAGGCAGCGATGCCCTAACCTAGAAGTTCTTTATGATGAATGTTTATAAGCAAGATGAAGAAGAATTTTAAAAAGGTTGCAGTCTTTGGGCAAGGCTGAGGTTTGGACATCTGCAGAGGAGGGATAGTGGATGTACTGAACAAAGGATATCAATTATTTTGCCTCCAGGCAGGAGGAAAAGATGAAGACCACAGAGAAAATACAAGGATAAATGAAGGAGGACATGCAGAGTGTTGTAACAGAGGAGGATGCTGATGACAGGGTGAGATGGAGGCAGATGATCTGCTGTGGTGCCGCTAAAGGGACCAGCCAAAAGACAAAGAAGAAGAATCATGCTTGGGTTGTTAAATGCTGTTCCTCCTCTGATTCTGATGCGTGAAGATATGTTATGTGAATGCAAACAATAACCGTGGTTTGCAGGCCCATCGTTTTTTTCCTGGGTCTGATCGTCTGTGTCGTCTTTCAGTTTCTGGCTGTTAACAGTTTTGGAGAACTGTTTACGCACCAAATATGGCACCAACTCTCCACGGATTGATGAGATAGACCTAGGATACAAAAGAAACACATAATTAATTTAGTCATTTAGCAACTGGATCAGGTAAGAAACACTAGTTCATGCTATGCAATCATAACATCTTACAATATCTCGGTAAAAATGAAAAGAAATAGACTATACTGGAATAAAATGGTTGCATTTTATGAATATCACCAGAGTAGTTGTAAGAGTAATTGTGTAACACTCAATAACAGCATGTAATAAATAACTGAATGATGTATAAAGGAGTCATTGTCCCTATAAAGACGTCGATCAAAATCAGGAAAGGAAGCACTGACTAAAGACTGATGATGTTCCAGCAAGAAATACATTAATTAAAAAAAAGAAAAAGAGCTAACAGTGAGCTTTCTTCAAAGTTTCTCTCTGTGTAAATCAGGAGGCAATATCCTCATCTTAATTTTTTTTTCCTCCTCCCTGGACTGCGCTGTGCTCAGTGTTCCTCTCTACCACACCACACACCCCTCCACTTGCCCTCTCTTACTTTCTTTTAAAGGGAGATTAGAATTTCCATCTGAATGACAGGAGAAAAACAACAGTTACTCTGTCCATTTCTCTCCTTGAGCAAGAGACAGAGAAAGAACATTGAGGAGAAAGGAAGAGAGGCAAAGAGGAGCCGTGAAAAGAGTCCAAGAAAAGAGCTGAAGAAAGAAATGAGTCATCTAACAAGAGAGATGATATATGGTGGCGGTAGAGGGTGCGTTGGTGATGCAATGATGTAAGATTTACATCTGCATCTCTATGGCAAATTGCTACTTTCAAGTGCTTTAACCAAAAATATTCACAGGATTAGTAAAGGGGATTTGTGTTTGTTGGCTTGGCTTTGGATTTATTGAGTGGAATAAAAGTAGCCTGGTGTGGATGCACTCCATTTATAGTTGTTGAACTTTAACAATGGGTAATAAATGATTTCCACAATTCGGCTTTCAGCGTGGTACCCACTTCTTGTGCAAGTTACAAAATACACGTGTGGAAGTCTCATCGCCTCCCAGTTTTGGGAAGTTGCCAACAAATAATATTATATTTGCTTCCCAAAATTAAACGGATACAATCAAGCACTATTTAAAGTAAATGCTCCGCCAATAGAACACAAAGCAAAAGCAAATCAAGCGCTCCCTATATCAGAGCCTGACAATGCGACTGCATGTGACAATCACAGCTGTTCCCTGCACTGCACAACTAGAGGTTTCCTGGATGTACTCAGGATGACTAACAGTGTGTTAAAAGACAGACGCACAACAAAAATCAAATGTATGGCACAGCAGACGGTAAAGAGTTTCTGCTCAAAGTGGACTATTATCTGCTGTTTGGAGATACTTTGGATTTAGTGATATTAACCAAGAAGAAATCAGATGCAAACAGTGCTGTAGAGGTGTGTCTGCGCCTCAAAGCAACATAAGCCACTTATTCACATGCCTGAAAATGCACCACAAACTGCAGGATAATTAAGGCATGAAGGCCAAGAAAAACAATGCTTTGTTGCTGACGCAAATCATCCACAAAACTCAGGCTGTGCAGTGCGTCTACGTATTCCTTCACAAAGATGTGCTGAAATCACACAACTGCAATCACACTTCCATTGACCAAAGATAAACTTCTGTTAAACTTATAAACTTCATGGAGCAACGATGTCATTCCCTCACACAATTTTTTTCCCCCAAAGAGGTCACAGCTGTCGAGTATTTAACCTTAAGTTCATCCTCATGTCCATCATGCAGGTACGATAAATTAAGTGAAAAATTACTTTTTCCTTCTAGTAGACACACTTATATCAGGTGAATAAACACCTTATTTGTCTGTAAAGATGTTTTACTTAAGAAGACCATAGCACAATGTAAATTCAGGGAAAGCAGTCCCCTCTGATGTTATTTTGTGCTTTTCATATTTTGTATTTTTATGTTTTTGTTCCTTCTAAAAGATGCACTCAATTTGGGTAAATGAAGAAAAGTTGTTTTATTTTTACATAAAGATAGAACATGTTGCATCACATGGAAGTGAAAGCAGTGTTAAATTTAGAAAATTACTGCCACTAAAATGAATGAATAATCATGACAAATAATCAATATTGCTGAAAATAATATTGTTTAAAAATTGTCAAAACAATTTTCATCAATTTGCTAAATATAAATAGAATAAATGTAAGAATGCAAATGCTAATTTTAGGACTTCAAAATGCTAGTTCCCACTACCTGTGTGAAAATAGGCATTCGTATAAGGTTTTGTCAAAGAAATTCACAGCAAGCATTTACCCAGCATTCAAGAAGTGACAACGTTTGAAGCGGCCCGCTTCCTGTTGTCTGTTTCAGGTTAAAAAGAGCAAGTGCTGACAAACCCTGATTCCCAAAATAGTGAAAACTGCTTTAGCCTTTCATTTTTCAGATGCAGCACAGAGACAGACTCCTATATAGACTCCTCCGGCTATAGCGAGCTCCCCCGTCACACCGCTTCACTTCAGAGGCTAAAGGCCTAACAGCCTGTCTCAGTGGCACATAGTAAAACAAATTAACACCTCACTAGAATACCATGCTAACAGAACCTTTCAAAGCCTTACACACCATGTAACCATGTTAAACACACACAGATTAAGCAGCGAGGTAGAGTTCGTGTCAGCTTGAGTGTGGGGCGTATGCATATATTTTGTGTCTATATGTGTCTAAGTCTGTTGGGTAATACCTCTCATGGAGCAAACAGGAAAATTTCAAAATTCAACAAAAAAAAAAAAAAAAAAAAAAGTCAAAAATAAGTGAAAAAGGTCTGGGGAATTTTTTATGTCCACTGTGGACTTTGCAGAAAGATCTAAACATAGACATACTTATATTCATTATTCACTTCAAAAGCATCATAAAGAATATGGTGCCGGAGACATGCACTTGTTTTTCTTGAGAGTTCACTAGTGTTTCTTGGTGTGGTTATTTGTATTTTGTTCTTGCAGATTTTTGGAAATATTTTGTGAGTTTGTATAGTCTCTCTTGTAAAACAGTCTGATCTCAGTAGGACTTCCTGTTAAAATAAAGATTCAAACCCCCCCAAACTTACTTGTTTTCTGTGAGGAAGTCCACAACAGCCTTTTTCAGACAGTAGAGGTGAGCGTCCACTAAGCCTGTTTTGATGAGCATCCTGGGATGTCTGTGGGTAAAAGGAAAAACAGAGATGGAAATCAAAGCTCACAAAGTGTCCCCAGTTCGTGAAAACAAAACATTAAAATCCACCGTTTGCACACAATGGAAAAGTGTGATGCACAGAAACAAATACATTAAAATACACACTGCACACCTGCGCTGCTTTTACCATCTTAATTGGATGCTACCCCTGGGGGAGTGTGCTTTGATTCTCTTCATCACCTGCTGGTTTTATCTTTAATGCTTACTTCACGTTTGCTCAAGCCATTTTTAATCTGTGTTCCTTTGCACGCAGGACTATAACACTTGATGAAAAAAAAACAGCAAAACCAGCTATAAAGCCTGATTGTCCTCTGCCATCTACCATAGATGTCGCCCCTCGGGCAGCCGTCATGCATTCACTCATTCACACAATTTTTTCACATAGGGAGACGCGGAGTCAAAAGTCTGAACGTGACATTTACGAAGCGACAACCTAAAGAAAACAATGCAGTCCCAGATGTTTCAATAAACAAATCTATCAACACCCCTACGTCCTCTCTGACTACTTACCTTTTCTTCCTCTGCCCTTTCAACCACGACATAATAAAAACTGTGGGGTGCATTCCTCCTTAAAAGGGCCATACCACTTTTAGCCCATTTATTACCAATCACATAGACCTTTCATTACTGCTTACCATCTTTCACAGCATGCCGCAGCGATTTAGATTTTTAAGGTTGTACAAACAGGTTGAAGTCTGTCTCATTATCACACAATAACTCCGACCAAATTAAAAACAGACACGTCCACTGTTCGCAGAGGTGTTCAGTTTTGATTTATTATTCCACACTAAAAGCAACAGGAATGATAATTACAACTCTCCCTGGAAAGCGAGTGTGACAGCAGGAAGCCACGCCAACATTACTTTGACGTGATAAAGTTTTATTTAAAGATGTGTAAAAATTTAGAAGTCTTACAAAATTAAGGAAACCAAAACAAATCGACTGCAGTTGTACAGAAACTCTATGCAGCTTTGTGAAAAACTAAGTACACCCCATTATTTAAAAACTTGTAGAACCACCTTTAACAGCAATAACTCGAAGTGATTGTTTCCTGTTTGACTTTATCGGTTTTTCACATCGTTGTGAAGGAATTTTGTCTCAATCTTCTTCACAGCGTTGATTCAGTTCATTGAGGTTTGTGTGCATTCGTTTATGCACAACTCAGGCACAGGTACCACCACAGCAGTTGACTTTCACTGGGTCATCAAACACCTCCATTCTTTTCTTGTTCGCGCATTCTGTTGTAGATTTAATGCTGTGTTTGGGATCATTGCCCTGTTGCATTACCCAATTCTGGCCAAGCGTTAGCGTTAGTTGACTCTGGAACACTGCAGAAGAAGCCCAAATCATCAGCCCTCCAAAACTGTATGAACTGTTTGTTCTAACATGCTGTATTTGTTTTTCACCAAAAGTAGTACTGTGCATTACAGCCCGATATCTCCACTTTGGTCTGATCCACCCCAAGGACATTGCTGCAGAAGTCTTCAGGTTTTGTTCAGATGCAACTTTGAAAACCTAAGCTGTGCTGCCATGTTCTTTTTAGAGATAAGACGCTTTCCAAACAACCGACACTTGTTCCATCTTTTTCTCCATTTAACTTGCTAACTGAGACTTGCAGAGTCTGAACTATAGCTCTTAGGATTTTGCAGATTTTTTGAGCATCACAAAGTCTGACCTTTGGGTGAATTTGCCGGGATCTCCGCTCCTGGGAAGATTGTAGCATTCTGTTAACACACACCTGAATACTTCACACCAGCTACTTGCCAAAACTACTTCTTTTATAGAGGCGCACACTTGCTGCTGATGAGTTAATCAAGTGCATTTGATTACCAGCACCTGGTTGCTTCTTTCTCTCTGAATTCCTTTGGAAGCAATAAGGGTGTACTTGGTTTTTCATGGGACGGCGTAGAGTCCTGTGAACACTGTATTTTTCACATGACTGATTGTAAGTCTGTGAATTTCCACTTAAATGTATTTCACCTTCTCTTTATGTTAATTCTCCTATTTTTGGTATTAGTATGTAACACTGATTAAACAACCTCTATGTACATATATGACCAAGAGTCATATAGTGAATTAGTGAATGTTTTTAAAAAAAAAAGAGAGAGAAAAAGTTTTATTTTGATCTTTTTAACTGATTTGAACTGAAACTGTTTTTTTTTCTCCTCATACACACAACTAATAATTTAAACTGCAATTTTTTTAAAACAGCCATAAAAGAAATGAGGAGAAAAATATCTGTGGTGACCCCACAGGAACCATCAAAAAGATCTTCTCGACAAGCTTTCCCCTCCCACCTCAAACACCAGGCTTACAGTATAACTGGAGTGACTCGGGAGGATTACTTAGTCACACACACACACGCACACACACCAGATGGTAAAAGCTCTAAATCAAACTCGGTGCGTGTCTGTCTGTGTTGAGGTATTTTATTAAAAAGCATAAAAACACATGTTCACTCTCACACACAGTCATGCTCTACGGGTGTCCCAGGTGTAAGTCTCTGTGTGGCTATCGCATACATAAAGTAAAACTCATCAGAACACCCAGCATGTGACATCACTGTTTAGCACCTGCAGGCGGGCAAGAGACAGAGCCTTGGATAATTGGGTTATAAATGACGATGTGTGTGTGTGTTTGTAGGTTAAAAACAGGTGCCCTGAATCATAATAAAAAAATTATTTAGTAGCCATAAAAAGCAGCACAGTAGGTACAAGTATCACCATATCAAGACTGTTGCAGTATAAAACCAAAACATGTTAACTTTTTTTAAGGGAACCTCATTACCCTCATTTTCAGGTCCATATGTTTTTATTCTGGGAATCTATTATAGCAGCTTTGCATGATCACCAATTCAAAACAAGTCCTTATTTTCCCTCATACTGAGCCTCGGTTTAACTACTTAGCTCGTCTTCCTCAAAGTCAACTTTCTTTGATTGCCTGCAACTGACAAACTGAACATTTGAACAACAGCTTTGGGGGGTCTGCATATGCCATGTTAAGAAAATCCCCTCCCCTTGACATACCGCAGACCCAAGAGCAGAAAAAACTGTTGGAAACAGAGTTTTTAAGAGGAGTCTGAAACATGAGCACACTAACTACTTCTACACATGCTGACTTTGAAATGTTTAATGAGTACGCACCATTGTAACAGTACATATATTACCCGAACATTAGAAATCAAGTTGCCTTTCCTAACAACAGCATCATGTGATTTCTGGTTGCTGCGAGTGCTGTAGAGCTCATTGTTGAAGGGAGCAGGAATTTAGTGCCTCTGCAGGCAGGGATGACTCAACTGTTGGATTAATGACTGACTACTAAAGTACCACTAAAGTCCTCAGTGGGAGAGAGGAGTCACATCTCTCGCTCTCAAACACACACAACATAATGTCTTATTTAGTTACAACTAAAACCCCACAGCGGACGGTGAGTCAGATACAGCAGAATGACCGTTAATACCCTCATTAGTCAGGTTTTCACAAGAGCCAACAGTGCTGAAGAGCTTTTTAAAAAAAAATTTAACCACTTCTCCAAAGCAAAATTTGTGATTCCCGTAATAATAAACTAACCCCATAGATGCTTTCTCAATTGAATTCACATATCTGATCTTGTGTTGCAAGCCTACAGTGCACATGGCTCTGCAAGTGCAGTCAGACTAATGTTGATAGCTGTCAAATCCTGTGCAAACACACTCATTATGTGGGACCATTGATACATATGTTTAGTAAATTTAGTACAAGGATCTTTGGAAGGGAAGTTATTTAATTTTTTAAAAGGTACTTTGTGTAATATTTGTGTTTATTGGCTTTTAGCCCCACGTGTGCCATCATTAGTAACAGATGTAAGTAACTCCGAGTCTGTTTTGCTGAAGATCACTGCAGTTGATCTGATCTAAGCTTCCTCGCCTTTCCTTTATACACTTACTGGCCACTTGTTAGGCACTACATGCTAGTACTAGGACACTCTTTTGATTTCAGAATTGCATTAATTATTTGTGGCACAGATTCAACAAGGTCCTGGAAAAATGCCTCAGTGATTTCGGTCCATATCGTCATAATAGGATCACACAGCTGTGGTAGATTTATCAGCTGCCCATCCATCATGTGACTCTCTTGTTCACTACATCTCTTGACTTGAGTACAGTGAGCTCGCTATCATGTTCAAGAAACCAAAGTTTATTTGTCGCTGTCAGAAGCAGCAATTAGAAAATGCATACACTCTGGTCATAAAGGGATGGACGTGCTCAGCAGGTAAGCAGTGGCATATTAGCACTGCTCAGTTTTAGCATCAACAAGCCATTCTCTGCAAAATCTATAGATGCTTGTGTGAGAAATCCCAGAAGGTTTAGCAGTTTGTGAAATACTCAGATCAGCCAGTCTGGCACCAAAAACCATGTCACATTCAAAAACTTCTACATCAACTTTCTTACCCATTCTGATGCTCAGTATGGACTTCGAAAAGACGTCTTGACCATGTCTGCATCCCCAAATGCATTGTTTTGCTGCCATGTGATAGGCTGATTACATATCTGCATTAAATATCAGCTGAACAGGTGCACCTAAAGTGTATGTCATAATTTTAAAACCTCCCAAAAACCCAAAACTAGCTGCAAAACTTGGCGCTTTGCTTGTTTTGCTTGAAACGTTCTAGTTTTCCGAACTATCTTGTTAAATCAGCAGATTAATACACAGTCAACCATTTCTCCAGACCTACATCCACAACATTCTGACAGGTGGAGCTTAATGTATGAGAGGAAGCTCTGCTGGATTCCTTTCACACCGTTTAAGCGATTTCCAGGTCAAACAATCTCACATGTGCAGAATGTTTTGAGCTAACACACCTCAACCATGTGGAAACTATAGAGAAGGAAAGGGAAGAGAAATTACAGAGAGGCTGAGGCAGAACAAGCATGGAGACTGTAAGAACAGATGGTTGGTTGTGTGGAGGGATGCACACAACAAGAACTGGTTCAATGAAGTGAATGAAGTGGGAAATTAAACGGACGCCAGTCAATGAAGAAATTCAGGAGGTCGCACACACCGATTCATTTTTCTTTCACTAACGTTCCACAGAAACTGAAAGAACCAACTGCAAAAGATACTACAGGTGTGAAATGTTAATGTGTACAAATGTAATACGAATACGAACATTTAATATCCAAAAGACGCTTCATAACCTGTATGTACAGTACATGTAAGCTGTGACTACTCTGTGGGTGATACTGCTGTTGAAAACAGTCAGGTAGCTACAGGTGGGAAACAGGAATCCATACTCTGGCATTTACTCTGCTTACTACCTCAGGCAAAAAATAATTTTGTGTGGGTGTGTGACATGCGAGCGTATAAATGATCAGAGGTGCTTTCAGTGTTGGAAGTCTTTCAGTATAAGCTGTAAATGTTTTGCTGTGGGCTCAATAGGTTTCCATAACACTGTGACAATGTGTGACTGTTTTCTCTCCATCAATGTCCACCTCGAGGTTGTGTTATGCGTTCATATAAGCATTTCTGAGTTTATGAAATAAGACAGAATGTGTGTGTGTGTGTATATATGTTAGTGTGTGCCTCAAGAGTTTCCCTGTGCAGAGAAGCATGCGAGCAGCTGCTCTGGCCCCCCTCTTATTGGCCAGAATTTACTGTGTCTTTGGCTCCATGAAGTATTTACGAGCTCCCAAAACACCCGCTCTCACACATACATGCATTTTAGGAGTTCGAAACAAAAACCTACCTAGAACACTCTTCCTGTAACAAAAATCCCACACAGCCACCACAGAACCTTCGCCCTAAAACACACTGACTCTGATTAGAAACTTAAACATCTGCTTTGCCAGAGCTAAGAACCTACAGATGTACAGAACACGTCACCATCAGGCAAACCTCCAAGCTCTGATCCACGCATGGAGGAATAAGAACCTGCACGAGAACACGTGCCGCACATGCTCAGCAACTTATAAAGTGAACACTGATTTGCTTTGGTTAACAAACCGTGCTGTGGACAGCTGTCATTCCACTAAAACAGAAGAATCAGGAGCCTTTAAGAAGACAGAGACCCCTTTGAAGTGAACAAAAACAAAGACTCAACAGTGAAATGATTGAATGAAAGTGGATAACCAATCAGAAATGAGTAGATTTTCACATATATGTATAATTTCTAATGGCTCATTTGGACATATAAATAAGCAATGTGTGGTTAGACTTACTTCCTCATAATGGATTTCCTGATTGATAGTCCGTCCTCAAGATCGGCCTCATTGGCCATGAAGAGCAGCCTCTTTCCTGACTGATCAACACCAACAAAGTCTCTCTGCTCAGCTGGGGAAAAATACACAACATATGCTTTTAATACAAAAAAAATTGCCCAGTTAAACCACTGCAGGGAAAAGAAAAAAAATATAGATTAAATAAACAGCAGATGCAAAATGGTCTAATTTTCTAAGATTTATTTTCATTTTACCTGTCTTTTTCTTGCCCTTCTGGCCTGGGACGGTCTCTGTGAATTCGTGGGCTTTGCTCATTAGCATGGCCATTGTCGCGTTGTGCGCCCGGAACAGATCGACCACCTCGTGAAGCGCTACGTCTGTTATCAAGTCACAACTCAACACCAGGATGTCGGTCTTAAGAGAAAGATTTGAAAGAAAATCACAGTGATGTGTTGCTGAAGTAAGTGATTCATGCTGAAGTATTTACTTGACAGCGCAATGGTAAGACACAACAGAATGTCTAACATAATGAACCTGACGTGGTTTGGTGGGACTAGGATTACTTTACTAAGTATAAAGAGGCTTTTGACAGGAGCTTGCAGGCACACACACAAAACTCTGAAACAGACAGAAATGGCTGAAATACAGTTGGCAGGGTGAAGCATTTAGACTATTGTATACATAAACTTTATTTCCGCACAAGTGCTTGTTGGCCCTTTGTTAAAGTGACTTAAACTCTGATTACAGAGAGTAGTGAGTAATGATTTCTGCTGTTATTCACCATCTCTGTTTGAGAATATACAATCCTATAGGTATTTGTGTGTATTGCTGTGAGTGCCTATATTATTCACAGTCTTAACTTCTTAAATTCAATGTTATTTAAAGTGTGAACTGTCTTGCTTCTACTCTCAGCAGAATCAGTAACGTAAATATGTAAGTCTGGGAAAACAAAGCTTTCAGGATTCTCAGTATTCAGTTCAGTTCAATTCAAGTAATGCTCTTTTTATCCCGATAGCTGAGAAATGACTGGGTTATAGCAACGCGCGCCCCCCCCCAAAAAAAGAAAAAAAACCCAGCTTATAAAGGTAAAAAAATTATACTTGAGTAGCTCAGTTAAACGGTAAATTAAAAAAAAGTAAACCAAAAAGCACAGATCTAAACAAAACAGGAAGGACCCTGAATCAAAAGGGAATAAAGGTATTGTGGTATAAAGTGGTGAAGAGTTTCTGCATCTGTCTTCATGGAAACAAAGCTGAACCAGATGTCAGACAAAAAGTTCAGCTGCTGATCTAGTAAAAAGCGCAGAGGTGGTGCGAAGAAATTACTCAGCAACTTTTGACAACAAAAGTTATCTCCAGACACTTTATGCTGTAAGCCAAGAACCCTACAACAGTGAGTTACACAAATCCCAGAGTACCTGTTTTTTCTTTTCTCCCTTCCCTTCTCCATTCATTCAGGTCTGAGAGACAGAATCCATAAACAGTGAGTGTAACTATATTTTTCTGCTGTTTCTCTTTGTGCAGACCGTCAGCTTGCTTGGATCTAAGCAGACAATTCAATTCATAAACACATGGTCTTCGTCAAATTACTTTGGTATTAATTTGTGATACTTCTAAGATTTCTGAAGTCCTTAAAACCTTGCTCTCTTTTTCTCCTAAAAGCCCACAGTAGATCAAAACGACAAAAATGTCTCAACAGCTGATTAAACTACAGATATTAAAAACAGGAACTGTAACAAAAACAAAACTGCTCAGTCTGGTTTGTGATTATATACATTGAACAATATTTCTGGCATAACAAATTAATGCTTTCTCTCAGGTCTTTAAAATTGCTGGTAATACGTTACACTATGTCACAGTCTATACATTTTAATAAAATGTTATGCAACAAGCCTACTGCTCTTCCAGAAAGCCATTTATGCTAGTTTTACTCTCTCTAATTACTGCAAATGAGTAGTTTTACATCAACAGATGCAGCTACTTCTGTTTAAAAGCTTTGAATTTGTATAAAAGAGAAATTACATGTGATTGGGACATTTGTTTAAATCTTTTGCAATCTCACAATTTTCTATTTTTTGTTTGAAGTGCTTGAAAACGCCTGACAAATTAGACATCGGTCCTGTTTAGTTTTCAGTTTGTGTACGCAGTTATCTCTCTGAAAAACCTGCCTTAAATAAAGGAAGATTAACTCCACCCTGTGTTTACATCCACATGTTAAGTCTTGCCCATATTTGAGTCTTTTTTTTTTTTAAATCATGCTGTACTTACTGCATTCAGTGACACAATATCACATAACTCCCTTATCCTTCTCCATTTTACCCCTGGCTGGCTGGTTTAAGTACATTTCTGTGAACTGATCCACATAAAACACTGCTCTAACGTTACACACAGGCAGAGAAAACCAGCCAGCGTTCAACAAAATGCACTTGAGCTTAAAACAGAGACCACTTTTTTTTTTTTTGAGAAAAGCAGAGTCTTATTTTAGAAGATGACTATCTTAAACTAGTATCAGTATCCCAACTATCTAACCACATGTAAATCAATACACGTTTGGAAACACAAATAAATATGCAGCTGTGAATTCCAGTTGACGTATCACTTGCTCTTATGGCGAGAGCAAAAGCAGTACCTGTCATTTGAACTGTTCTCCACTGTCTGAATGTGTGTTTGCATGTGGGTGCAGCCGCATTTGTGTCTGTGTGCGGTATCCATCTGTCTGTCCAGAGATGAAGGCTGTCAGCATAGGGACTAATCCCACCATTAGCACCAGCAGCCTTAACGACAGAGACATTATTGCTCTGTTTGTGAAGGAGAACACAGAGTGAGAGAGAGGGGATAAGGAAGAAAAACACATGAGCAAAGAATCCACAGACACTGTCAAACAAAAGAAAGAAAAGGAAAGATTACAGTGAAGTTTTTTTTAAGTATTTATATAGAATAAATGTAATATATTATCTGGTTTAAAAAAGGATCAAAGTATGTAGAGTATGCTGGATCAGTGAGATCAAGGGTCAAGTTGACCTAGATTTACATGCAACTCTAATCTTGACCTGGCGACAGGAAGCTGCCACAGTAAAATTGAAGGTGCCTGCAAGAGATCTCCTGACTCCTGAGACTCTGAGACCTTTCAGCTCTCTCCTCGCTCTATCACAGACTGATAAGCTCACACACATGTTCAGAAACAGAGCACTCTCACACAGCCACACACATTAAATGGACAAAGGCGTGCTTGCTTCATTCACACATGCACGCACGCAGGCGTACACTCAGAGGCGACAGCCGAGTGGAGTCAGCTGGAGAGGCAAAGACACTTTGGCCTTTCAACAGCCAGGATCACTGGACAGGTCAGGACCACACACACTGGTGCACAAGCAATCACACACAGATGCGGATTTGTCCTAGAGGTAACTGACTTCAATCCAAAACTAGTGCTTGCACAATCCTGACCCGTTTCAAGGACACTTTCTTTGTTGTGTGAGGTATGAATCCACCAGTAAAGGCTGACATTCACAACTCTGTTATTTACAAGTTACAAAATTCAGCAATGTCACGTACATAAAGAAAGCTATGATGTATATAATAAACAAAGAAAGTATGAAACAGAGATTCAGGCTTCATCCAATTCTCATGAGAAGACAGCAGCAGGGAGAATTTCATGGTTTGATTCAGGAGGTGAAGCTCTATCATGACTGCTTTCGTAAATATTTCACCTTTTTCAAAGAACCGATTCGCCCAGAGCAGCGTTTAGCTGCGTGTCCGAGGTAAAATAATATTATTTTACTATTTCCATATAATTGTATATTCAGTACCAGTGAATGTTTTGAGCTACAGTGCACTTGTTGGTATACTGAAGTATACTTTATGGTATACTGCAGTATGAAAACTGACAATACTTTTGCTCAGCTGCATGCATGCCAGTCAGACTTTTTACCACACTTCCAATAAAAACAGTCTATTTCAATTCAGTTCAATCTCTTTTATATTTTGGTTCCTCAAAGGATTTTTGAAGCTAATAACTTGAAATGACTCAGCTGTGTGACACTGGTCATCAAGTCAGTGTAGGTTTGAAGGATACACAAGCTTTGACTGATGTGTTCATCATAAAAAAACCCAAAAACAAACCACTGAATATTTTCCATTTCACCCTGGGATAAAAGTAATGTGGGTCACTTTTAACATGTACAAGTCTTGCCTGGTCTTCTTAAGATTATGAAGTTTCAACATTGCAGTTCAGTGAAAAGACAGAGAAAATGCACATGGAGTAAGGGTGTGGAGCAAGACTGTTGAAAGAGGGAAAGAAATAAAAAAAAGACACATCTAAGCATGTTTGCTGTGTCGCTTTCATGAAAAGCCTCAGTCCCATCTCTCACTCCTCTCTTTCTTCACCTTTTGTGTCGAGTCTTACAGGCTGACTAACAGATGTGGACCAAAGGTGAAGCCTTGAATCACAAACTCCAATGTATATATAGCTGTTTTAGTTCATACGCGCTCATTATACCAGGTGATTAAGCCTCAACGATAATAAAAATGTCAAAGAGGCTTTTGGCGTACAAAGCAAAACGTGCATGCAAAGTACTCCTTTCACTAGTTTGGCTTATTGTGAAAGAACTCAGCATTAATCAGCATATCCGTCCACTTTTGTGTAACCTCACTGTTTGCGGAGTGAACAAAATAAAAAATGCTCCCTGTAATCTCTCCTTTCAGTGTTCGAGAGAAATGGCCGACTGTGTTCACCCAGAGCACACACCGATTCCTGTAACTATTTTGTTTGATCGGTTACACCAAATCCCCTCATGGAAGGGTGTTTGCATCAAGATGTGTGAGTGTCTACACTGTGCGCAGGCTTCGGTTTGACAGATTGAGTGATCTCTGTGCGGGGATTTGGCAGGCCATGGTTACAGTTCCTCACTCATCACCTTGCAGTGTGTGAGTGTGTGTAACTCAATGCCTCTCATCCAGCTGGCTGCTCAAAGGATTAGAAACTCAACGATTCTCAATGAGAGCATGCTGAAGCTAGTTCTGCCTAAGTGTGTGAATATTTGTACATGTGGTAATTCCAAGCATCTATTAAAAGGACTAATCTAGCTAAGAAAATAACTAGAATCTGTACACCAATTCAAAGGGGAAAAAAGAAAAACGATTAAAGCCATTTGACCAAAAGAACTAAAAGATTGATCGTGTTGTAAAGAATGAATGTCAGAAGGACATTTTTATCTTCGACTGTACAGACAGACACAAAATAAAGAAAAACCCCCTGAAAGCTTTATCATTACAGTGAGAGCATTTAGTGCCTTTGCTACACTGTGAGGAGTATTTTGCTGGGAACTTAAATGTAAAGCTGTTTTCAATGATCAGTTTTATCCATGATTTAACATTTCTGTCCTGAGAAGAGCCGCTCTCTTTTCAGGACAATAACACCCAGAGAATCACCTGGAATCACTAGATTTTTAACCCATTTGAATATCTATGCAACATGTCAAGTGTGGCCGACCAAAAAGATTACTGTATTTTCCACATTATAAGGCGCACTTAAAATCCTTTAATTTTCTCAAATCGACAGTGCGCCCTATAATAATAGTTGAGTTAAAATGATCAGCCTTGCTGCTTTACCAGGTGTAACAATTAAATTTAACATGCAGGCATCCATGAAAACAGAACTTAATTTAACAGAGTTAGAAGTTAGCAGGAAGTTAGCTCGCTAGTTTCCACCTAAACATGATATAGCATGTTCTGATTGAGAGATTTCTGAAAAAAATAAAACATACAGCTCTGCTATCACTCCCAACATAAATAAAGACAGAAAACTAAACAGCAGTGGCGTTTGCAGGGTTACTGAAGTTGGACTAGCTGGTATATAATGATGTGCTACGTGACCGCTAGCGACACAGCTATGTTAGCATAACATAAACACAGTGAAGCTGCAGGATGAATGCTAACTTTTTTCCACTTGATACAAGTTAACGTGAGGGTTCCCGATAGTTAGGGATAAATGCAATCGCATGGCAGGATGCTGTAAACGGACCAAACGTCAGTCAGGAGATGTGAGATAATCCATCCACAATACGAGGTTAGTCATTAATATACTGCAACAACATGGGAATAGAGCAGCTGCAAGAGAATTGAACATTAATGAATCAATGGTACAGAAGTGGAGGAAGCAAGAAGAATGAGTTGATGTTTGACCTATCTGACTATTTTGTTTCGATTAATGCGCCTTATAATCCGGTGCGCTTGATGTATGAAAACAGACCTGTTCATCAACATTGTGCCTTATTATCCAGTGCGCTTTATGGTCCGAAAAATACGGTAATTGTAGTGATTGAGGCTCTAAAACAACAGTCTTACATCAGATTGTGATAGAGATTTCAAGATGATTGTTTGTGACCTGGGACAAAGTTAAAGAAGCTACAACTCACATTGTAACTGAAACTATAGCCTGCTAGGTTTATCAAAATACTAGAATTTCAAACTTACTGAAATGCAGTGTTAAAAAAAAAGCACAGGGGGAAAAAGATTAGAACAATACAAACTTTACCAACTTAATAACACAATATAGGAACTGTGAGGAACTGCTTATAGTTAAATGACTAACGTTAATGTGTGTGTCAGTCAGGCTAACGTTTATGAGTATGTAATACTTTACTCTTTGTAAAGAGTAAAGTAAGTCTTTACTCTTTGTAAAGACTTGTTCAGTCTTGGGGTGCTGGTATAACTCATTGGGTTGAACAGTCAAACCATATGCCTAAAGGCTTCTGCAGAGTCCACCCTGTGCCATTTCCTGCATGTCCATGCTTTCTCCCTCCTTTCCTTACTACTCTAGTCTCCTGTCACGAAAAAAGGCTAAAAAACCCCTAAATTAATCTAAATAAAGTTGTCCAGTGTTGCTAATGTCAAATACTTCAGCTGCTAGTGAGGAGAGGTGCTGGGTGAAGTGTGTCAACTAGAGGAGGAAAGACTGCACTGGTGGTAATGATACTGATACAAATGAGTAATTTGATAGTAATTTTTAGTATCTGAGAATCGATTTTTTGACAACCCTACTACGCCCTACATCTACTTATCATCCAGTAGGAATGTAGCATGTAATGATGCTTAGTGTTGGGAATGGAAATTCCTGGAAATATTAGGAGCCTGTGGTTTTTCTTCCTTTTGAGATTAAGGGTGGGCGATATTGTTTCAGATTGTTCCTGTTTTCTATATGTTGATAATTAAGTGGTTCTGGTATTGTGAAATTAGTTGACTCTTCTAATAATCTAGCTTTTTACTACAAGCTACACTCATATGCCTTTCTAAGTATCAAGCAAACACATTCACCCACCTGCACATACACACTTATTGGGAATTTGCCAAAAAAGAGGAGCGAGGGATCAAACCCCTGACCAGAATCACAATCCAGATCAAGAGTTGTAATTGTGCCAGAAAAAAAAGTCATGGTCTTCTGGCCAATCACCTACCAAGACTTGGTTCAGATCATAATATAATTTAAAAAATATACCAACAAAAACTCGTCTTGATTAAATAAAGATGTGACTGGATGCAAAAGTTAATTTTGTATGACAAAATGTTTGGACTGTATTTCTGTAACTGCCAAAAATGTGTCTTTTCTTGTAAATGTTTGAGTCAGACAGTACCGTAGATCAGCACTATTTACCTTGCTGATTTCATATAGCATTACTGTAAATATGTATTGGCTGAAAGCCTGAAAACAACCATAAAATCTTACATTATTGACATACGCATGAATCACAATGAATTAATTACTCGAAAACATTCATAGTATCACCTTCATTTAAGATTTGATGAGTCTGAATTAATTGTGATTCTTAAAACTGACATTTCTAACTAAGCCAGTGGTATACAATTCTTTGATAGTAAAACAATAAACAAGAGAAATTGCTTTTGAAACACATCAACGGTCAACCCTAACCCCAAACTAACCCTAAACTCATATAAACATGTCTTCATGGACACAAGGGGCCAGTCAGTACAATGGCATATACACAGGGTCACCATACACCCTTACATACCCAAACACAAATGTTGCACAGATGTGCATGACTGCTGCATGAGAATAAATGGTGCACTGGGTAAACTGGCAGCACAGGGAGTTTAACCATGACCTCATCTGTTTAGAGTGAATCGGATGAAGGGAGGGATGGAGGGATCAGCAGGCAGGATATAGAGGGGGGTATGGAAATTGCAGTTGGGGGTCATGGATACCAAGACAGCATATGTACACGTGTGTGCCTGTGTATGTTTGTGTGTATTTTAAAAATGTGCAATGAGGCACCTCGGCGGCCTTGGCCATTCAAAGGAGGAAAAGGCATGGATCGGTGGTC